CGCCGTGCATCAGCTCAACCTCTGGCCCCGTGTCTCCTTGCCGGAGACCTCGCCCACACTGCTGTGGACGGGGAAGGTTGGCGATGTGTCGCGTTTCCGGGTCTGGGGTGCTCGTGCCTTTGTCCGCGATACCACTGCGGACAAGCTCTCCGCCCGCGCTATTCCCTGTGTCTTCCTTGGCTTTGTCCCTGACGCGCCTGGTTGGCAGTTTTACCACCCCACCTCGCGTCGTGTCTTTGCGTCTCAGGACGTCACGTTCGACGAGTCGGTTCCCTTTTACCGTCTCTTCCCCTACCGCACTGCCCCTCTCCCTCCCCCGCCGCTCTTCCTCGCTCCAGGTGCTCCCCAGGTCGACCCTCTCCCCGCTCCAGGTCCTGCTCCCTCAGGTGTGTCTCAGGTAGACCCTCCTCCCTTCCCTGCGCCGGTTGAGGTCACTGGTGACTCAGGTCCTGCTGGGGGTGGTCCTGCTCGGGGTGCTACTTCTGGGGGTGCTGAGTCTGGGGGTGCTGGGCCTGGGGGTGCGGAGCCTGGGGGTGTTGAGCTTGAGGGTGTAGAGCCTGGAGGTGCTGAGCCTGCGTGTGAGGGGTCTGGAGGTGCTGGAGCTGGTGGTTCTGGGGCTGCTGAGGGTGCGAGCGCTGGAGGTTCTGGAGCTGCTGGAGGTTCTGGTGCTGGTGGCGCTGGAGCTGCTGAGGGTGCTGGCGCTGAGGGTTCAGAGTCTGCTGTTGCGCGGTCTCCTTGGAGTAGCCGCCTTCGTCCACGTGTGCCTCTCACCTTGCAGCAGCTGCACGACTGGTACGGTCGCCGTTAGGGTCGCGCTGCTGGAGCCCGGGGCTCTACTGCTGGAGGTACTTCTGCTGCCGTCCCTGGAGCTAGGAGTGGTGCTGGTACTGTTTCTACTGGAGGTGCTGGAGTCGCTGGTCCCGGAGGTGCTCGTCCTGGAGGTACTGGAGCTGCTGGGGCTGAGGGTGCTGCGTCTGGAGGTGCTGCTGCTGGAGACACCGAGGCTGGAGACCCTGGGACTGGAGGTGCTGGTTCTGGGGGTGCTGCTGCTGGAGACGTGGAGGCTGGAGACCCTGGGACTGGAGGTGCTGGTTCTGGGGGTGCTGCTGCTGGAGACGTGGAGGCTGGAGACCCTGGGACTGGAGGTACTGGTTCTGGGGGTGCTGCTGCTGGAGGCACTGGGGTTGGAGACCCTGGGCCTGGCGGTGTCGGTTCTGCTGCTGGAGCTGCTGGAGCTGCCGGTCCTGGTGCAGCTGCGCCGCCACGACTGTTCTTCGCTCCGCCGTCTCCGTCGTCTCTGCCGCCGCCTGACTCTGTTCTTCGTCAGGTTCTTACTCTCCCGTCGTCTACTGGTCTTCCGTTACAGCCTGGCTCCCCGCTGCCTGCTCCTTCTCCTTACACTGAGCAGACAGGTAGTCTTGCTGAGCGTCGTGAGCCTGCGTCGCGTCCTGTCTCGCCTGTTCGTCCTAGTCGTACCGGTCGTCGTGTTCCGCGTCCGCGTTCGCCGCCTGTCCCCACCGCACACCTTGTCGTCCGTCGTCCTTCCTCTGTTCCGCAGTCTGTTTCTCTGCCGTCTCCTCCTGCGTCTTCCTTGCCTCACGTTCCGGACCCTGAGTCTGACCGGTTTCGTGCTGAGCACCCTACTGTCACGCGTCTGCTCGCCACTGTTGTCACTGACCCCTCGTTTGAGTCTGCTGCTGCGACTGCTTTGGTTGCTGAGCTTGTTGACTTTGCGGCTGCCTGTCGTCTAGACTACGCTGCTAGTCTTGTTGCTGAGTCTGAGTCTGTCTGTCCTCCGTCCGTCGGGGGTGAGTGTGCTCTTAGCACGGACGTCCTTGAGGACAGGCACGAGGACCTTGAGTGTCTTGCAGCCGCTGCGCCTCATCTCGTGACCATGCTGCTTGCCCCTGAGGGAGACCCGGATGCACTAGACATCCCCACCCCGCGCTCGTACGCTGAGGCGGTCGCGGGTCCCTACTCCTCTCAGTGGCAGGCAGCCATGGACGCAGAGATGGCATCCTGGAAGTCCACAGGCACCTACGTCGACGACGTTCCCCCTCCTGGGGCGAACATCGTCAGTGGCATGTGGATTTTCAGGGTGAAGCGACCGCCTGGTTCTCCGCCTGTCTTCAAGGCACGTTACGTTGCTCGAGGCTTCAGTCAGCGAGAGGGGGTTGACTTCTTCCATACCTTCTCCCCCACCCCGAAGATGACCACTCTTCGGGTACTGCTGCACGTTGCCGCCCAGCGTGACTACGAGCTTCACTCGCTTGACTTCAGCACAGCTTTCTTGCAGGGCAGCCTGCACGAGGAGATCTGGCTGCGCCGCCCACCTGGCTTCACTGGGTCGTTCCCTCCTGGTACCCAGTGGAGCCTCCGCCGGCCAGTCTACGGTCTCCGCCAGGCGCCTCGTGAGTGGCACGACACACTGAGGACTACGCTTGCGGCTCTCGGGTTTGCGCCCTCCACAGCTGACCCGTCACTGTTTCTGCGCACCGACACCTCGCTGCCGCCGTTCTACATCCTCGTGTACGTCGACGACTTGGTCTTTGCCACTGCTGACACTGAGGCTCTCGCCCTGGTGAAGTCGGAGCTGCAGAAGAGACACACGTGCACAGACCTGGGTGAGCTGCGCAGCTACCTTGGCTTGCAGATCACCCGGGACAGAGCACGTCGCACCATCACTCTGACTCAGTCACACATGGTGCAGCAGGTCCTTCAGCGCTTCGGCTTCACCTGGTCCTCGGCACAGTCCACTCCTCTGGCTACAGGTCACTCGCTCTCAGCTCCACCTTCGGACGAGTCCGTAGAGCCGAGTGGTCCTTACCCAGAGCTAGTAGGCTGCCTCATGTACCTGATGACTTGCACTCGTCCTGACCTTGCGTACCCTCTTGGCCTTTTGGCCCGCTACGTGGCTCCTGGTCGGCACCGAAAGGTGCACTGGGATGCTGCGAAGAGGGTACTGTGCTACTTGTGCAGTACATTGGGCATGGGGCTCGTGCTTGGAGGACGGCGAGAGGTGGTCCTCACTGGGCACTCAGACGCGTCTTGGGTTGACGACCAGGCTACACAGCGGTCGTCACAGGGTTACACTTTCAGCCTCGGCTCTGGTTCTGTTTCGTGGCGTTCTACTCGCTCGTCTTCTGTTCTCAGCTCCAGTTGTGAGGCTGAGATCTACGCCACCGCCATGGCTGCTCAGGAGCTGCGCTGGCTCACGTACCTGCTGACCGACCTGGGAGAGCGGCCTCGTTCTCCTCCAGTTCTGTACGTTGACAACAAGGCAGCCATTGCCTTGTGTGAGGAGCACAGACTGGAGCACAGAACGAAGCACATCGCTCTGCGTTACTTCCTGGCTCGAGAGTTGCAGCAGCGTGGTCAGCTTCGTCTTGCACACGTGGCCACTCGGGCCAACACTGCTGATATATTCATCAAGGCACTTCCGTCTGGTGATCATCAGCGCTTTTGTACCTTGTTGGGCCTTGTGCCTACGTTTCCACACTTGCTGTAGACTCTGTCTGTACTGTGATCTTTATATATATATACCTGCATGCTTGCTCTTGCTAGGTAGTGATCACTGTACTTTGTTTGTTGCATATATACCTCTGCATGTGGACTGGCCTTGTGGCCCTTTGCTTGTGCTCAGTCTGTGTGGTGACGTTGTGATCCACCCTGAGCTTGGTTTGTTTCTCTTGACTGGTCTTGTGACCCCTTGTTCTCCCCCACTTTGCCTATGGGGGTGTGTCAAACAATGCATATTGTGTTTGTGTAGGCTGCTAGTGGGGTAGCCCATATGGGGTACAACCCAATGTTAGGGTTAGCTTATGTACCCAACTCTTGATCAATGCATTCATTCTTGTCTCTAGACACCAGCTGTTGAAGTGTGCGTTGCTCACGTCTTGGCACTCCACTGCCATCTCGGAAGTGGGCATATTGAAAGGAAACTTCTAGGAAACTTCGCTCCGATAAGCGGGCAGAGTGTACCCTCGATACAAGTCTGAGGCTCAGCCTACACTTATAAAATTAGGCTGAAATTTCAAACAACTCATAAACAAAACCTCTGAGAAATCAGACAAGGTACATAAAAAAATTCTTAGACTTCAGACTAGGTACAAAAAAAAAGTCTGAACGGACTCTGAATCAGACTTTAAAGTCTGATATCTAGGGCACTGTCGTTGACAGATCCCGTCAGCAGCATCACTGCGTGGCCTGCAATATGCAACCAGGAATCCTATGCATCTCTAATGGCAGGGCCTTTGCCCAAAGTTTATAAAAGGGACTTTGTGGTAACCAAATTATAGGGCCACTCAATCTCTGTCACGAGCGACAGAATGGTTCCAACTCCTCTCACCAGACTTGATCGTCAAAAGTTTATGAAATGCCAAAAGTATACTGAAGGAGCTGCCTCCTCAACAATCCCCCCATCCTGAAGTGGCCTAGCGAGTAGCTGGTTCACTTCCGAAAGATGAGGTCCCGGGATCAAATCCCCCCTGCGGCGTATTCTGCCAGCCCCCAAAAGGGGCTACACAGGTGCTTATCTGGGAGTGGATAGAACAACCTCGTTGACCCAGCGAGGAGTGTAAACAAATGGGGAGGCGGGTTACGACCGACAGCCAGGTGTGGGTAACACCCAGAGGGGTTTCCCCCCCTCCTTTACCTTTACCTCAACAATCCCCACCCCCCGGCATAGCTTAGCATGCAGAAATAGCGTAACTACGGTACGCAATAATAGCCATTGCGCCTGTCGTTGTTAGGTCAATTTCTGACCATTCCACTGTCTATTTCGCCTCGCCTTATGCAACGACATTCGCCGGCAGGGAGGTGAAAGGCTAGAGGCCGTTCACACATCGCGGCGACGCCGCCTCGCTCGAATCGCCGCCGCAAGCCACGTGAAAGCCGAGGATAGGAGCCACGCCGCGCCTTGCTGAGCTGCCTCGCCGGACCTCGCCCCGCAGTCCATCGTGAACACGCACGTGGCAACGATGAATGCGGAATAGCTACGCATGTGCGCTGACGGAAGGTAGGCGCACCACATTTAGTCACTGGAGTGGGCTGACGCAGGTTGCGAAGGCGTCGGCGACGGTGTGGATTTCCCAACCCCCCCGCCGCCCGACCCCCGTTCCGTCGCCCGACTCCCCTTCCCGCCTGCTCGTGTGAGCGACGCAGCCCCGTTTCCGCACTAGCCTAGGAAGCCACGGGTGAGTTCGCGACGCGGAAACGAAACTTCCTCCCGTCCCGCCAGCCCTTCTCGCCTCCCCATCTCCCATCCCGCCTCCCGATATCCACTTCCCGCCTCCCGTTCTCGCCTTCTCGCCTCCCAACCTCCCATTTCAGCATCCTCTGCTCCCCTTCCCGCCTCCCGTTCTCCCATTCCCGCCTCCCGTACCCCTGTGACCGCCGGCCAATCCTTCCTTCCGCCGCCCGAACTCCCCATCCCGCTACCCGATCTCCCCTTTCCGCCTCCCAGTCTCCCCTTTCCGCCTCCCAATCTCCCCTTTCCGCCTCCCAGTCTCCCCTTTCCGCCTCCCAATCTCCCCTTTCCGCGCTCCCGATTTCCCCTTCCCGCTTCTCAATCTCCCCTTTCCGCCACCCAATCTCCCCTTCCCGCCTCTCAATCTCCCCTTTCCGCCTCTCAAACTCCCCTTCCCTGCATCCCCTCTCCCCACCCTGCATCCGCTCTCCCAGCCTGCATCCACATCTCCCCATCCCTGCATCCACATCTCCCCTTCCCTGCATCCCCCTCTCCCCATCCCTGCATCCGCCTCCCCCCGCTACCTCACAGAACCTTTTCCCACCACCCTCCTCTGACCCAACCCTTTCACCCTTCTCCATGTGGGGCACTGCATCCCCAACCGCCATGAAGTCAGCGGGGCTGGTTCTCTATGGCCCGGGGGGCAAAGGAGCTGCCAATCTCGCAGTCTGCCCCCCCCCCTCCCCCACCCTCCCTCCCAAGCCCCATCTCTCCCCCCGCCCTCCCCTTGCCCCCAAAACCCCTCTCTCCCTTCTCTCTCTTCTCTCCCTTCCCTCCCTTCCCTCCCTTCCCTCCCTTCCCTCCCTTCCCTCCCTTCCCTCCCTTCCCTCCCTTCCCTCCCTTCCCTCCCTTCCCTCCCTTCCCTCCCTTCGTCCCTTCCCTCCCTTCCCTCCCCCTTCCCTTCCCTCCCTTCCCTCCCTTCCCTCTCTTCCCTCCCTTCCCTCCCTTCCCTCCCTTCCCTCCCTTCCCTCTCTTCCCTCCCTTCCCTCCCTTCCGTCCCCCTTCCCTCCCTTCCCTCCCTTCCCTCCCTTCTCTCCTTCTGCTCCCTTCTCCCATCGTTTTCGACCACTCGTTCCATGACCACACATGCCTCAGTTTTTTCAACCCTTCTTTCCCCCCCTCTACCTCCTTTCTCACTGGGCCAGGCTTTGTCTGTGCTTGTGTTGCAGGTGGGGCGCCTTCCGGACTGCACCCCCTACTATCTGCGCCTCACAGATGCGATGTGAATGACAGGGGAGCGTGGCAAGGGCCACTGGCGAAGCAGCCTCAAGCCGCTTGGTCCATCCTTATATAGCACATAACACACCCTCTCTCTTTCCCTTTTAGCAATTTCTTACAGACCCAACAACACATCGTGTTATCAAAACGCATGTTTTAGTGTTTTTTACCAACTGGTTATTGACCATGGTGTCCTGTGACATCATTACATGTTGCCAACACAACCAGTGTTATAGCATGTACTGTACTACAACACAGCATGGACTCAAAGCGGTTTGGTTTCAAGTAAATGCACAGAGGCAATCCATGCATGCAAACTTAGCAAGCAATGTGCGATTGGTCAAGTGTGCCAACTTCTACTTATAGGCGACGCGGGAAATGTGGAGCGGTGCTGGCAGGCGATGGGGAGGATAGGCGAGCGAGGAAAGCATGCACGCAGCAGGTCGTCATTCCTGGACACCATACGCTTTTGGGGCTGCCAGTCATTGGAGAACCACTCCAACAGCACAACATTCGTTGCTGCAAGGCAAATCTGCTCGTTGCCGTCCGTCCAGTGTCCCAAACCTGAAGGGATGGTGGTAAAGAGGGTGGAAAGGGAAGGGATGCGTAGAGGATGGATGGGGTGAGAAAGGGAAGAGAGGTAGAGATATGGTGAGGCAGAGATATGGTGAGGCAGAGATATGGTGAGGCAGAGATATGGTGAGGCAGAGATATGGTGAGGCAGAGATATGGTGAGGCAGAGATATGGTGAGGCAGAGATATGGTGAGGCAGAGATATGGTGAGGCAGAGATATGGTGAGGCAGAGATGGGGTGAGGCAGAGATGGGGTGAGGTGGAGATGGGGTGAGGCAGAGATGGGATGAGGTAGAGATGGGGTGAGGTGGAGATGGGATGAGGTGGAGATGGGATGAGGTGGAGATGGGATGAGGTGGAGATGGGATGAGGTGGAGATGGGATGAGGTGGAGATGGGATGAGGTGGAGATGGGATGAGGTGGAGATGGGATGAGGTGGAGATGGGATGAGGTGGAGATGGGATGAGGTGGAGATGGGATGAGGCAGAGATGGGATGAGGTGGAGATGGGATGAGGTGGAGATGGGATGAGGCAGAGATGGGATGAGGTGGAGATGGGATGAGGTGGAGATGGGATGAGGTGGAGATGGGATGAGGTGGAGATGGGATGAGGTGGAGATGGGATGAGGTGGAGATGGGATGAGGTGGAGATGGGATGAGGTGGAGATGGGATGAGGTGGAGATGGGATGAGGCAGAGATGGGATGAGGCAGAGATGCGGTGAGGTGGAGATGGGATGAGGTGGAGATGGGATGAGGTGGAGATGGGATGAGGTGGAGATGGGATGAGGTGGAGATGGGATGAGGTGGAGATGGGATGAGGTGGAGATGGGATGAGGCAGAGATGGGATGAGGTGGATGAGGTGGAGATGGGATGAGGTGGAGATGGGATGAGGTGGAGATGGGATGAGGCAGAGATGGGATGAGGTGGAGATGGGATGAGGTGGAGATGGGATGAGGCAGAGATGGGATGAGGTGGAGATGGGATGAGGTGGAGATGGGATGAGGTGGAGATGGGATGAGGTGGAGATGGGATGAGGTGGAGATGGGATGAGGTGGAGATGGGATGAGGTGGAGATGGGATGAGGTGGAGATGGGACGAGGAGGAGATGGGATGAGGTGGAGATGGGATGAGGTGGAGATGGGATGAGGTGGAGATGGGATGAGGTGGAGATGGGATGAGGTGGAGATGGGATGAGGTGGAGATGGGATGAGGCAGAGATGGGATGAGGCAGAGATGCGGTGAGGTGGAGACGGGATGAGGTGGAGATGGGATGAGGTGGAGATGGGATGAGGTGGAGATGGGATGAGGTGGAGATGGGATGAGGTGGAGATGGGATGAGGCAGAGATGGGATGAGGCAGAGATGGGATGAGGCAGAGATGGGATGAGGTAGAGATGGGGTGAGGTGGAGATGGGATGAGGTGGAGATGGGATGAGGTGGAGATGGGATGAGGTGGAGATGGGATGAGGTGGAGATGGGATGAGGTGGAGATGGGATGAGGTGGAGATGGGATGAGGTGGAGATGGGATGAGGTGGAGATGGGATGAGGTGGAGATGGGATGAGGCAGAGATGGGATGAGGCAGAGATGCGGTGAGGTGGAGACGGGATGAGGTGGAGATGGGATGAGGTGGAGATGGGATGAGGTGGAGATGGGATGAGGTGGAGATGGGATGAGGTGGAGATGGGATGAGGTGGAGATGGGATGAGGCAGAGATGGGATGAGGTGGAGATGGGATGAGGTGGAGATGGGATGAGGCAGAGATGGGATGAGGTGGAGATGGGATGAGGTGGAGATGGGATGAGGTGGAGATGGGATGAGGTGGAGATGGGATGAGGTGGAGATGGGATGAGGTGGAGATGGGATGAGGTGGAGATGGGATGAGCAAGGGGACGAACACCTGTTCGGTTCGCCTCGAACAGGTTTATTTTTTTGGCTTAAATGGTTCGCCGAACAGTGTTCGAGGTTCGCCCGAACACGTTCGTGTTCGGGCCGCTGCTGCAATTTGCCCCGCAACGAACACGAACGTGTTCGAGGTTCGCCCGAACACGCCTTCATAGGCGAACGGCGAACACTTGTGTCGGCGGAAATCGTTCGCCGAACCGAACAGTGTTCGGTTCGGCTGTTCGAGCTGTTCGACAGAGGACGAACTCGAACCTGTTCGAGTTCGGCCTCTGCTCATCCCTAGAGATGGGATGAGGTGGAGATGGGATGAGGTGGAGATGGGATGAGGCAGAGATGGGATGAGGCAGAGATGCGGTGAGGTGGAGATGGGATGAGGTGGAGATGGGATGAGGTGGAGATGGGATGAGGTGGAGATGGGATGAGGTGGAGATGGGATGAGGTGGAGATGGGATGAGGTGGAGATGGGATGAGGTGGAGATGGGATGAGGTGGAGATGGGATGAGGCAGAGATGGGATGAGGTAGAGATGGGGTGAGGTGGAGATGGGATGAGGTGGAGATGGGATGAGGTGGAGATGGGATGAGGTGGAGATGGGATGAGGTGGAGATGGGATGAGGTGGAGATGGGATGAGGTGGAGATGGGATGAGGTGGAGATGGGATGAGGTGGAGATGGGATGAGGTGGAGATGGGATGAGGCAGAGATGGGATGAGGCAGAGATGCGGTGAGGTGGAGATGGGATGAGGTGGAGATGGGATGAGGTGGAGATGGGATGAGGTGGAGATGGGATGAGGTGGAGATGGGATGAGGTGGAGATGGGATGAGGTGGAGATGGGATGAGGCAGAGATGGGATGAGGTGGAGATGGGATGAGGTGGAGATGGGATGAGGCAGAGATGGGATGAGGTGGAGATGGGATGAGGTGGAGATGGGATGAGGCAGAGATGGGATGAGGTGGAGATGGGATGAGGTGGAGATGGGATGAGGTGGAGATGGGATGAGGTGGAGATGGGATGAGGTGGAGATGGGATGAGGTGGAGATGGGATGAGGTGGAGATGGGATGAGGTGGAGATGGGATGAGGTGGAGATGGGATGAGGCAGAGATGGGATGAGGCAGAGATGCGGTGAGGTGGAGATGGGATGAGGTGGAGATGGGATGAGGTGGAGATGGGATGAGGTGGAGATGGGATGAGGTGGAGATGGGATGAGGTGGAGATGGGATGAGGTGGAGATGGGATGAGGTGGAGATGGGATGAGGTGGAGATGGGATGAGGTGGAGATGGGATGAGGTGGAGATGGGACGAGGAGGAGATGGGATGAGGTGGAGATGGGATGAGGTGGAGATGGGATGAGGAGGTGATGGGATGAGGTGGAGATGGGATGAGGTGGAGATGGGATGAGGTGGAGATGGGATGAGGTGGAGATGGGATGAGGTGGAGATGGGATGAGGTGGAGATGGGATGAGGTGGAGATGGGATGAGGTGGAGATGGGGCGAGCAACGCGTTGGTAGTACGGTACTGGAGGTGGAAAGTGGAAACTGTGGGTAGGGGGAGGGAGTGTAAGCAAGGGAAGGGAGCATAGGGAGGGGATGCAGGGGGGAAAAGGAGGGGAAGCACGGGGGGGAAAGGAGGTGAGGCAAGGGGGAAAAGGATGGGAACCAGGGAGGAAAAGTAGGGGATCCAGGGGGGGAAAGGAAGGGAAGCAGAGGGGAAAAGGAAGGGATGCAAGGGGGGAAAGGAGGGGAAGCAGGGAGAGAAAGTAGGGGATGCAGGGGCGGGAAGAAGGGGAAACATGGGGGGAAAGGAGGGAATGCAAGGGGAGGAATGGAGGGGAAGCAGTGGGGGAATGGAGGAGGGGATGCAGGGGGAGAAAGGAGCGGAAGCAAGGGGGAAAAGGAGGGGCCAGGGGGAATGTAGGGGAAACACGGGGGGGAAATGAGGGGATGGAGGGGGGAAAAGGAGGGGAAGAAAAAGGGGAAAACAAGGGGAAGTAGTGGGGGAATTGGGGGAAGGGAGGGCACAGGGGGGAAACTCATGGAACCGCGCGCGGGTGTCTGGAACCGCGTGCTGCTTGCTGGCGCGCGAGCGTCACAGGCGCTCGATGTGCTGGCGGCGTCGCTAAGAAGGCGCGTGCCGCTTTGCTGCGCGCCTTTCGCTGGCGCGCGCTGCTCTGCTGATTTATGGCCTGACGCGCGCTGTGCTGGCGCGTGCGGAATGCCAGCATAGCTGGCGCAAGTTCCGCGCGCGAAACGCCAGCATAGCTGGCGCAAGTTCCGCGCGCGAAACGCCAGCATAGCTGGCGCAAGTTCCGCGCGCGAAACGCCAGCATAGCTGGCGCAAGTTCCGCGCGCGAAACGCCAGCATAGCTGGCGCAAGTTTCGCGCGCGGAATGCCAGCATAGCTGGCGCCGCAAGTGACGCTCGCAGGTGGTGCCTGTAATGCGCATGGCTAAATTATCACCCGCGTCTATGGATGTGGTCGAGATGCTGGTCTAGCACCATGCGGCCCGCGCCTAAGTTATTTCGACCTATTCAATTAGCTAATTGAGTGACGGTATAGAGTACTGCTGCTATGTTCTCCCTAATGTGAGGTGAAAGGTGAGTTCGGTGACAACCTTCCCAGCCCTGGTTCCCTCACGACAGAAGCGCGCCAGTTGTTCGCCAACACTCTCGCAATTCTGTTTTTGGTTTCGTTCAGGCGAAATCGCTTTGCACACTGTAGAGAAACAACAGTACTGTCAAATGTATACCGCCGCTTTAATTACACAAGAATCCTATGCCACCACAATGACGTCTGGTGGTGAGAGACGGTACACAGGACTGCCGGTAGAGTGTGGTACGGCATGTATGTAGTGCGGTACGGCATGTATGTACGGAACCTATTGTAAAAAATGTGACAACTTAGAAAGAAATGTATCACGAATAATCGTACAAGGAGATGGACTTATCATCAGATACACTGGCCAACCGCCCCGCCCTGACCCCTTCTCCCCCAGGGGGCCGGAACGTCACCCCCCACACCTGATCCTTGTGCTCCTTCCCTGCCTGCAGGGCAGTTCGTTGCCGCATGTCCCACAGCCTCACCGTGCGATCACTGGAGCCTGATGGGTGGCGGGGAGTGAGAGGGGGTGAGAAGCAGTGAAGAAGGGTGCAGCACGTCACACCCCACACCTAATCCCTGTGCTCCCTTGCCACCTGCAGGGCTGTTTGCTGCCGCATGTGACAAACCCCTACACACACACACACACACACACACACGCGCGCGCGCACGCACGCACGCACGCACGCACGCACGCACTGACACACGCACCTGTGGTGATGATAGCACCATCAGCACTGCTATGAGCTGCTGTGATGATGGCATGGGCTGCTTTAAGCCGCTGTGGTGACAGAATCACACGCACTAGGTATCACAGACCCAACCTTTCCCCCTCCCCACTCCCCACACACCTGTGGCGATCATAGTTTCGTCCGGGCTGCAGTCAGCGGAGAGCACCCAGCTGGTGTGGCCTGAGAGCGCTGCATTGATGGTATAAGCTACATTGATGAGAGGCCAACCACATACCCCCTCACACACCTGTGGCGATGGTGGCCCCATCAGGGCTGCAGTCAGCGGAGAGCACCCAGCTGGTGTGGCCTGAGAGCGCTGCTATGAGCTGCCTGCCCTCCACGTCGTACACGTGCGTGTGCCGGTCGTCACTCGCCTGGTGGGCGGAAGGGGGAGGGTAAGGGTGGAAATCGGATAGGAGGAGGTTGATACACACCCGTACGCCCTCCACGTCGTACCCATGTGAGTGCAGTTGGTGGTGCTTTTGAGAAGCTGTCAGTCGCCTGGTCAGGAGAAGAGGAAGTGGAAGAGGCAAGGCGAGGAAGTCGTACATGTGCATTCCACATGCTTGTTGAGAGCACGCTGAGAGCAGTCAGAGCAGGCTGGGCTGAGAGCAGGCTGAGTAGGCGGGGGTTGATGGGTGGGTAAGCTCATACAACGAGAATGGGAATGAGAAGGCTGACTCTCAGCACCATGTTGAGATGTCCCGATGGTATGGTAACTTGGATGATATGAGAAGCGGGCTGAGAGTGGGATACTCAGAGTGACGGGCTGAGAGTGGGATACTCAAAGTGACAGGTTGAGAGTGGGATACTCACAGTGACGAGAATGCGCGGGTCGATGGGTGAGAAGGCGAGGGAGCGAACAGGCAGGTGGTGACCTTCCAGGAAATGCAGTAACCGGAAGGGCGATGCTGACGTGTCAAACACCGCTACAGTGCCGTCCATGCTGCTACACGCCAGCCGTTTGCCGTCCACGCTCCACGCCACAGACAAGACAAACCGCCCAGCCAGTGTCGTGCTGCTGCTGCCACTGCCGCCCACGGTGGCCGGGGCTGCGGGTCCAGCTGGCAGGTCGAGAGTGGTGGCCTCCTGCCACGTGGCAGTGCTCCATAGCTTGACAGCCTGGCTGCTGCCGCCCCCCACTGCGAGAAAACTGCCCTGCGAGGGATGTATAGAGGGGAGGAGGGATGGGAGGATGGGAGGGATGAGAGGATGGGAGGGACGAGAGGAGGGGAGGGGATGAAAGGAAGGGAGGGGTGAGAGGAGGGGAGGGATGAGAGGAGGGGAGGGATGAGAGGAGGGGAGGGGTTGAGAGGGAGGGTTGAGAGAACTGAAGGGATGAGAAGAGCGAAAGGACACACCTGGGGGTGGAAGGGCGCACCTGGGGGTGGAAGGGCGCACCTGGGGGTGGAAGGGCGCACCTGGGGGTGGAATGGCGCACCTGGGGGTGGAATGGCGCACCTGGGGGTGGAATGGCGCACCTGGGGGTGGAATGGCGCACCTGGGGGTGGAATGGCGCACCTGGGGGTGGAATGGCGCACCTGGGGGTGGAACGGCGCACCTGGGGGTGGAATGGCGCACCTGGGGGTGGAATGGCGCACCTGGGGGTGGAATGGCGCACCTGGGGGTGGAAGGCGAGGTGCCAGGTCTCAGCAGGCGGGGCTTCGAGTGTGGCGACAGTGGCGTTGGAGTCCACGTCAAACACCCTCACCACACAGTCCAGGGCTGACGCCGCTGCTCTGCCGCTGACCGGGCAGGCCGCTATGGCAACCACTCCTGGAGGAGCCAAGGGGTGGGGAGGGGGGGTGGCATGGAGCAGAGGGGGGGAGTGGACGGTGATGGTGGCATTTGAGTCCACGTCAAACACCCTCACCACACAGTCCAGGGCCGACGCTGCTCGCGAGCTGGCCGGGCAGGCTGCTATGGCCACAACTCCTGGAGGACCAAAGGGGGGGTATGGAGCAGAGGGGCGGAGAGGAGAGGAAGGCGATGGTGGCATTGGAGTGGACGTTAAAGACCCTCACCACACAGTCCAAGGCGGACGCCGCTGCTGTGACGCCCGTGGGACAGGCGGCTATGGCCACCACGCCTGGCGTGTGGCGTGTGAACTTGAGTCAAACCAGAGGCACATGAGAGGAAGCGGTGGAGAGGGAAGGGAAGGAGAGATTTGGAGATGGCTGAGAGAGAGGCGCGTGGGAAGGTAAAAAGGATTGGAAAGCGGTGAAATGGAATGAACGCATGGGGAGAAATGGAATCTTCAGAGTCGGATGGACACGCGAATAGGTGACTGATTAGTGGGGAGGGTGGTAATCGACGCAAGGGAAGAAATGGCGTCCAGTGAAGGGGTGGTGATGGCGACTTGGAGAACACAACGGAGGGCTACCACTACTCGCGAAATGGAGCGAGGTGTAATGAGGTTGTTTTTGAGACGTTTTTGAGGCGTCTCAAAAGACTTGGAGAACATAACGGAGGGCTACCACTACTCGCGAAATGGAGCGAGGTGTAATGAGGTTGTTTTTGAGACGTTTTTGAGGCGTCTCAAAAGACTTGGAGAACACAACGGAGGGCTACCACTACTCGCGAAATGGAGCGAGGTGTAATGAGGTTGTTTTTGAGACGTTTTTGAGGCGTCTCAAAAGACTTGGAGAACACAACGGAGGGCTACCACTACTCGCGAAATGGAGCGAGGTGTAATGAGGTTGTTTTTGAGACGTTTTTGAGGCGTCTCAAAAGACTTGGAGAACACAACGGAGGGCTACCACTACTCGCGAAATGGAGCGAGGTGTAATGAGGTTGTTTTTGAGACGTTTTTGAGGCGTCTCAAAAGACTTGGAGAACACAACGGAGGGCTACCACTACTCGCGAAATGGAGCGAGGTGTAATGAGGTTGTTTTTGAGACGTTTTTGAGGCGTCTCAAAAGACTTGGAGAACACAACGGAGGGCTACCACTACTCGCGAAATGGAGCGAGGTGTAATGAGGTTTTTTAGACGTTTTTGAGACGTCTCAAAAGACTTGGAGAACACAACGGAGGGCTACCACTACTCGCGAAATGGAGCGAGGTGTAATGAGGTTGTTTTTGAGACGTTTTTGAGACGTCTCAAAAGACTTGGAGAACACAACGGAGGGCTACCACTACTCGCGAAATGGAGCGAGGTGTAATGAGGTTGTTTTTGAGATACCACTACTCGCGAAATGGAGCGAGGTGTAATGAGGTTGTTTTTGAGACGTTTTTGAGACGTCTCAAAAGACTTGGAGAACACAACGGAGGGCTACCACTACTCGCGAAATGGAGCGAGGTGTAATGAGGTTGTTTTTGAGATACCACTACTCGCGAAATGGAGCGAGGTGTAATGAGGTTGTTTTTGAGACGTTTTTGAGACGTCTCAAAAGACTTGGAGAACACAACGGAGGGCTACCACTACTCGCGAAATGGAGCGAGGTGTAATGAGGTTGTTTTTGAGACGTTTTTGAGACGCCTCAAAAGACTTGGAGAACACAACGGAGGGCTACCACTACTCGCGAAATGGAGCGAGGTGTAATGAGGTTGTTTTTGAGACGTTTTTGAGACGTCTCAAAAGACTTGGAGAACACAACGGAGGGCTACCACTACTCGCGAAATGGAGCGAGGTGTAATGAGGTTGTTTTTTAGACGTTTTTGAGACGTCTCAAAAGACTTGGAGAACACAACGGAGGGCTACCACTACTCGCGAAATGGAGCGAGGTGTAATGAGGTTGTTTTTGAGACGTTTTTGAGACGTCTCAAAAGACTTGGAGAACACAACGGAGGGCTACCACTACTCGCGAAATGGAGCGAGGTGTAATGAGGTTGTTTTTGAGATACCACTACTCGCGAAATGGAGCGAGGTGTAATGAGGTTGTTTTTGAGACGTTTTTGAGACGTCTCAAAAGACTTGGAGAACACAACGGAGGGCTACCACTACTCGCGAAATGGAGCGAGGTGTAATGAGGTTGTTTTTGAGACGTTTTTGAGACGTCTCAAAAGACTTGGAGAACACAACGGAGGGCTACCACTACTCGCGAAATGGAGCGAGGTGTAATGAGGTTGTTTTTGAGACGTCTCAAAAGACTTGGAGAACACAACGGAGGGCTACCACTACTCGCGAAATGGAGCGAGGTGTAATGAGGTTGTTTTTGAGACGTTTTTGAGACGTCTCAAAAGACTTGGAGAACACAACGGAGGGCTACCACTACTCGCGAAATGGAGCGAGGGAAGGATGTCCTGTGTACGGTGTGGGTTGTGTGGGGGAAGGGAGCTGGGGACGGATGGTGTTGGGACGATACAGACACACAGTCATTAAAGGCGGGAGCAAGATGGGGGTCGCCTATTCTGTCGCTGGAACGCCTCTTGCCTGTCCCTATCGCCTCGCCTATTCTATCGCCTGGCCCTATCGCATGTTGCCTGCCCTCTTTCGCCTGTCGCCCCTCGCCCGTCCCCTGTCGCATTTCGCCAGGCCCTGTCTGTCGCCTCACCCAGCGTGTGGCCGGTGTTGGATCGCACGGGCGTGAGGTCGTCGCCAGCCCACACGCGCACCGACTCGTCGACGGATCCCGTCAGCAGCACCGCCTGCGGCCGCGCGTCCGTCGGCGGCGCCCACGCGGCGGCCCAGATGCCGTCATCGTGAGCGTCGGTCAGCTGCTTGATTGGGGAGATCTTTGGCATTGCGTGGCGAGTGATTCAAACGGCGAGTGATTCAAACGGCGAGTGATTCAAACGGCGGGCCTGGAGTGGTTCTGACGGCGCAAATGTAAGGACGCGTCACAAGTAGAACATCGATCCTGCCTAGAATCGGTGTTTAGGTGGTTACACATTTTCGTTTATTTTCGCTAACGTACAGTTTTCCCTTCTAAGTCAGGCGATCGATGTGCCCCTGTCACACATCGATCGTGCAATTTCGTCCACATCGGGCAATTTTGCCCCATGTTTTTACGATCGTGTCACTTGAAACTTCAAAGCAGTCGTGACACACCGATATGGCGATCGGTTTGACAGGTTCGGTGAACAACCCTGATCCTTCCTCGATATTTTACTTGTGACGCGTCCTAAAAGGGGAGAGCCACAGATGCGGACTGAAAATAATTGCACTGTGTAATGTGAGGTGACTGGTCCCGACAAGCCCCAGCTGGCGGGGTTTCAGTTCCGCCGACCCGTCGCTGGGAGAGCGACGGATCCGTCGTTTTCACAGGCAAAACAGGGGCGACACCCAACAATCCGATGAGACACACAGGTTCGAAACAAGGTTAGAATCTCATCGTTGTAATTACTGTGCCCTAAAGAAATAAGCCAAAGAAGTACATATATACTAGTAACGTGTACTCCAATGTATTAGTTTTATATTCTTTGGTTGTGGTCCATCAAGTACTGTGCTTCAGCATCAGTGAATATTGGGAAGTAACCTATGAGTGTCAACCAATGGAGCATTTTATGCGGAACAACGACAACCGGTTTCTTATCATGTCCCACCTTGACTGCTGCAGCCGCGGACCACATTACAGACGTATTTTTACCTCTTGGTGTACCTGCACAACAGCAACAACAGCATCAACACGATGGAGATGGTTTGGGGGTTGGTGATGCGACGAGCTATCAGACACAGATGATCAATACATTGAAGTTTCGAACTTTAAACCCTTTATTCGCTTGGAGTTATGAATTTGAGCTACGGTAATGATGGCAGCAGTCAGAGCAGGCATAACTCACAACTAAACAACGTGGAGATAAAACTAGAAGAGAAGGTTTCACCCTGTACAGCATGGCTTGGAACATACAGTATTGCTACAACTGACAAAATCGTGGGTCATGTAACGCCCGTTGACTATGCAAGCAAGCAACTACCGGCAACTACGGGATCACCATTCATCATCATCCATGGCAACAAACACATTAAAGAGGCGGCCGTTAGTGGACCGCAACTCATTTACCAGCCTTCCCCAGTGCGACCTGAGCCCGCCCACAAAGAAATCCCCCTGAGACGCCACCAGCAGGCTTGCCAGCGCCCTTGCTTCTGTTGTCGGTACTGCTGCTGCTCCTGAGTCTTGTGCGGTGGGTGCAGGGCTTGTCTGATTGGTGGAATGGAGGAACGTCCAATCACGGTAGTTGGATGCCTTGGTTATCAGAGCCTGGTGGAAATGTTTTGAGCAACAGGGGGGAAGGAGTGAGGGATGAATGGTGTGAGATAGGGGAGGGGGCATGGGAGAGTGGGGATGGTAGGGTGGAGATGCGAGCAGGGCAGGGGCGGAGCAACTAGGTAGAGTGGATGTGAGAGGGGCGGCGCCGTTCGGGTGGAAGGTGATGGCAGGTGAGGGAAGGTGATGGCAGGTGAGGGAAGGTGATGGCAGGTGAGGGAAGGTGATGGCAGGTGAGGGAAGGTGATGGCAGGTGAGGGAAGGTGATGGCAGGTGAGGGAAGGTGATGGCAGGTGAGGGAAGGTGATGGCAGGTGAGGGAAGGTGATGGCAGGTGAGGGAAGGTGATGGCAGGTGAGGGAAGGTGATGGCAGGTGAGGGAAGGTGATGGCAGGTGAGGGAAGGTGATGGCAGGTGAGGGAAGGTGATGGCAGGTTAGGGAAGGTGATGGCAGGTTAGGGAAGGTGATGGCAGGTGAGGGAAGGTGATGGCAGGTGAGGGAAGGTGATGGCAGGTGAGGGAAGGTGATGGCAGGTGAGGGAAGGTGATGGCAGGTGAGGGAAGGTGATGGCAGGTGAGGGAAGGTGATGGCAGGTGAGGGAAGGTGATGGCAGGTGAGGGAAGGTGATGGCAGGTGAGGGAAGGTGATGGCAGGTGAGGGAAGGTGATGGCAGGTGAGGGAAGGTGATGGCAGGTGAGGGAAGGTGATGGCAGGTGAGGGAAGGTGATGGCAGGTGAGGGAAGGTGATGGCAGGTGAGGGAAGGTGATGGCAGGTGAGGGAAGGTGATGGCAGGTGAGGGAAGGTGATGGCAGGTGAGGGAAGGTGATGGCAGGTGAGGGAAGGTGATGGCAGGTGAGGGAAGGTGATGGCAGGTGAGGGAAGGTGATGGCAGGTGAGGGAAGGTGATGGCAGGTGAGGGAAGGTGATGGCAGGTGAGGGAAGGTGATGGCAGGTGAGGGAAGGTGATGGCAGGTGAGGGAAGGTGATGGCAGGTGAGGGAAGGTGATGGCAGGTGAGGGAAGGTGATGGCAGGTGAGGGAAGGTGATGGCAGGTGAGGGAAGGTGATGGCAGGTGAGGGAAGGTGATGGCAGGTGAGGGAAGGTGATGGCAGGTGAGGGAAGGTGATGGCAGGTGAGGGAAGGTGATGGCAGGTGAGGGAAGGTGATGGCAGGTGAGGGAAGGTGATGGCAGGTGAGGGAAGGTGATGGCAGGTGAGGGAAGGTGATGGCAGGTGAGGGAAGGTGATGGCAGGTGAGGGAAGGTGATGGCAGGAATGGAAGGACGAGTGGGCGAACCAGGAGTGCACGCACTCGTGAATGAAAACGAGTGGGCGAACCAGGAGTGCACGCACTCGTGAATGAAAACGAGTGGGCGAACCAGGAGTGCACGCACTCGTGAATGAAAACGAGTGGGCGAACCAGGAGTGCACGCACTCGTGAATGAAAACGAGTGGGCGAACCAGGAGTGCACGCACTCGTGAATGAAAACGAGTGGGCGAACCAGGAGTGCACGCACTCGTGAATGAAAACGAGTGGGCGAACCAGGAGTGCACGCACTCGTGAATGAAAACGAGTGGGCGAACCAGGAGTGCACGCACTCGTGAATGAAAACGAGTGGGCGAACCAGGAGTGCACGCACTCGTGAATGAAAACGAGTGGGCGAACCAGGAGTGCACGCACTCGTGAATGAAAACGAGTGGGCGAACCAGGAGTGCACGCACTCGTGAATGAAAACGAGTGGGCGAACCAGGAGTGCACGCACTCGTGAATGAAAACGAGTGGGCGAACCAGGAGTGCACGCACTCGTGAATGAAAACGAGTGGGCGAACCAGGAGTGCACGCACTCGTGAATGAAAACGAGTGGGCGAACCAGGAGTGCACGCACTCGTGAATGAAAACGAGTGGGCGAACCAGGAGTGCACGCACTCGTGAATGAAATCGAGTGGGCGAACCAGGAGTGCACGCACTCGTGAATGAAAACGAGTGGGCGAACCAGGAGTGCACGCACTCGTGAATGAAAACGAGTGGGCGAACCAGGAGTGCACGCACTCGTGAATGAAAACGAGTGGGCGAACCAGGAGTGCACGCACTCGTGAATGAAAACGAGTGGGCGAACCAGGAGTGCACGCACTCGTGAATGAAAACGAGTGGGCGAACCAGGAGTGCACGCACTCGTGAATGAAAACGAGTGGGCGAACCAGGAGTGCACGCACTCGTGAATGAAAACGAGTGGGCGAACCAGGAGTGCACGCACTCGTGAATGAAAACGAGTGGGCGAACCAGGAGTGCACGCACTCGTGAATGAAAACGAGTGGGCGAACCAGGAGTGCACGCACTCGTGAATGAAAACGAGTGGGCGAACCAGGAGTGCACGCACTCGTGAATGAAAACGAGTGGGCGAACCAGGAGTGCACGCACTCGTGAATGAAAACGAGTGGGCGAACCAGGAGTGCACGCACTCGTGAATGAAATCGAGTGGGCGAACCAGGAGTGCACGCACTCGTGAATGAAAACGAGTGGGCGAACCAGGAGTGCACGCACTCGTGAATGAAAACGAGTGGGCGAACCAGGAGTGCACGCACTCGTGAATGAAAACGAGTGGGCGAACCAGGAGTGCACGCACTCGTGAATGAAAACGAGTGGGCGAACCAGGAGTGCACGCACTCGTGAATGAAAACGAGTGGGCGAACCAGGAGTGCACGCACTCGTGAATGAAAACGAGTGGGCGAACCAGGAGTGCACGCACTCGTGAATGAAAACGAGTGGGCGAACCAGGAGTGCACGCACTCGTGAATGAAAACGAGTGGGCGAACCAGGAGTGCACGCACTCGTGAATGAAAACGAGTGGGCGAACCAGGAGTGCACGCACTCGTGAATGAAAACGAGTGGGCGAACCAGGAGTGCACGCACTCGTGAATGAAAACGAGTGGGCGAACCAGGAGTGCACGCACTCGTGAATGAAAACGAGTGGGCGAACCAGGAGTGCACGCACTCGTGAATGAAAACGAGTGGGCGAACCAGGAGTGCACGCACTCGTGAATGAAAACGAGTGGGCGAACCAGGAGTGCACGCACTCGTGAATGAAAACGAGTGGGCGAACCAGGAGTGCACGCACTCGTGAATGAAAACGAGTGGGCGAACCAGGAGTGCACGCACTCGTGAATGAAAACGAGTGGGCGAACCAGGAGTGCACGCACTCGTGAATGAAAACGAGTGGGCGAACCAGGAGTGCACGCACTCGTGAATGAAAACGAGTGGGCGAACCAGGAGTGCACGCACTCGTGAATGAAAACGAGTGGGCGAACCAGGAGTGCACGCACTCGTGAATGAAAACGAGTGGGCGAACCAGGAGTGCACGCACTCGTGAATGAAAACGAGTGGGCGAACCAGGAGTGCACGCACTCGTGAATGAAAACGAGTGGGCGAACCAGGAGTGCACGCACTCGTGAATGAAAACGAGTGGGCGAACCAGGAGTGCACGCACTCGTGAATGAAAACGAGTGGGCGAACCAGGAGTGCACGCACTCGTGAATGAAAACGAGTGGGCGAACCAGGAGTGCACGCACTCGTGAATGAAAACGAGTGGGCGAACCAGGAGTGCACGCACTCGTGAATGAAAACGAGTGGGCGAACCAGGAGTGCACGCACTCGTGAATGAAAACGAGTGGGCGAACCAGGAGTGCACGCACTCGTGAATGAAAACGAGTGGGCGAACCAGGAGTGCACGCACTCGTGAATGAAAACGAGTGGGCGAACCAGGAGTGCACGCACTCGTGAATGAAAACGAGTGGGCGAACCAGGAGTGCACGCACTCGTGAATGAAAACGAGTGGGCGAACCAGGAGTGCACGCACTCGTGAATGAAAACGAGTGGGCGAACCAGGAGTGCACGCACTCGTGAATGAAAACGAGTGGGCGAACCAGGAGTGCACGCACTCGTGAATGAAAACGAGTGGGCGAACCAGGAGTGCACGCACTCGTGAATGAAAACGAGTGGGCGAACCAGGAGTGCACGCACTCGTGAATGAAAACGAGTGGGCGAACCAGGAGTGCACGCACTCGTGAATGAAAACGAGTGGGCGAACCAGGAGTGCACGCACTCGTGAATGAAAACGAGTGGGCGAACAGGAGTGCACGCACTCGTGAATGAAAACGAGTGGGCGAACCAGGAGTGCACGCACTCGTGAATGAAAACGAGTGGGCGAACCAGGAGTGCACGCACTCGTGAATGAAAACGAGTGGGCGAACCAGGAGTGCACGCACTCGTGAATGAAAACGAGTGGGCGAACCAGGAGTGCACGCACTCGTGAATGAAAACGAGTGGGCGAACCAGGAGTGCACGCACTCGTGAATGAAAACGAGTGGGCGAACCAGGAGTGCACGCACTCGTGAATGAAAACGAGTGGGCGAACCAGGAGTGCACGCACTCGTGAATGAAAACGAGTGGGCGAACCAGGAGTGCACGCACTCGTGAATGAAAACGAGTGGGCGAACCAGGAGTGCACGCACTCGTGAATGAAAACGAGTGGGCGAACCAGGAGTGCACGCACTCGTGAATGAAAACGAGTGGGCGAACCAGGAGTGCACGCACTCGTGAATGAAAACGAGTGGGCGAACCAGGAGTGCACGCACTCGTGAATGAAAACGAGTGGGCGAACCAGGAGTGCACGCACTCGTGAATGAAAACGAGTGGGCGAACCAGGAGTGCACGCACTCGTGAATGAAAACGAGTGGGCGAACCAGGAGTGCACGCACTCGTGAATGAAAACGAGTGGGCGAACCAGGAGTGCACGCACTCGTGAATGAAAACGAGTGGGCGAACCAGGAGTGCACGCACTCGTGAATGAAAACGAGTGGGCGAACCAGGAGTGCACGCACTCGTGAATGAAAACGAGTGGGCGAACCAGGAGTGCACGCACTCGTGAATGAAAACGAGTGGGCGAACCAGGAGTGCACGCACTCGTGAATGAAAACGAGTGGGCGAACCAGGAGTGCACGCACTCGTGAATGAAAACGAGTGGGCGAACCAGGAGTGCACGCACTCGTGAATGAAAACGAGTGGGCGAACCAGGAGTGCACGCACTCGTGAATGAAAACGAGTGGGCGAACCAGGAGTGCACGCACTCGTGAATGAAAACGAGTGGGCGAACCAGGAGTGCACGCACTCGTGAATGAAAACGAGTGGGCGAACCAGGAGTGCACGCACTCGTGAATGAAAACGAGTGGGCGAACCAGGAGTGCACGCACTCGTGAATGAAAACGAGTGGGCGAACCAGGAGTGCACGCACTCGTGAATGAAAACGAGTGGGCGAACCAGGAGTGCACGCACTCGTGAATGAAAACGAGTGGGCGAACCAGGAGTGCACGCACTCGTGAATGAAAACGAGTGGGCGAACCAGGAGTGCACGCACTCGTGAATGAAAACGAGTGGGCGAACCAGGAGTGCACGCACTCGTGAATGAAAACGAGTGGGCGAACCAGGAGTGCACGCACTCGTGAATGAAAACGAGTGGGCGAACCAGGAGTGCACGCACTCGTGAATGAAAACGAGTGGGCGAACCAGGAGTGCACGCACTCGTGAATGAAAACGAGTGGGCGAACCAGGAGTGCACGCACTCGTGAATGAAAACGAGTGGGCGAACCAGGAGTGCACGCACTCGTGAATGAAAACGAGTGGGCGAACCAGGAGTGCACGCTCGTGAATGAAAACGAGTGGGCGAACCAGGAGTGCACGCACTCGTGAATGAAAACGAGTGGGCGAACCAGGAGTGCACGCGCTCGTGAATGAAAACGAGTGGGCGAAGCAGGAGTGCACGCGCTCGTGAATGAAAACGAGTGGGCGAACCAGGAGTGCACGCGCTCGTGAATGAAAACGAGTGGGCGAACCAGGAGTGCACGCGCTCGTGAATGAAAACGAGTGGGCGAACCAGGAGTGCACGCGCTCGTGAATGAAAACGAGTGGGCGAAGCAGGAGTGCACGCACTCGTGAATGAAAACGAGTGGGCGAAGCAGGAGTGCACGCACTCGTGAATGAAAACGAGTGGGCGAACCAGGAGTGCACGCACTCGTGATTGAAAACGAGTGGGCGAACCAGGAGTGCACGCACTCGTGAATGAAAACGAGTGGGCGAAGCAGGAGTGCACGCACTCGTGAATGAAAACGAGTGGGCGAAGCAGGAGTGCACGCACTCGTGAATGAAAACGAGTGGGCGAACCAGGAGTGCACGCACTCGTGAATGAAAACGAGTGGGCGAACGAGGAGTGCACGCACTCGTGAATGAAAACGAGTGGGCGAAGCAGGAGTGCACGCACTCGTGAATGAAAACGAGTGGGCGAACCAGGAGTGCACGCACTCGTGAATGAAAACGAGTGGGCGAACCAGGAGTGCACGCACTCGTGAATGAAAACGAGTGGGCGAACCAGGAGTGCACGCACTCGTGAATGAAAACGAGTGGGCGAACCAGGAGTGCACGCACTCGTGAATGAAAACGAGTGGGCGAACCAGGAGTGCACGCACTCGTGAATGAAAACGAGTGGGCGAACCAGGAGTGCACGCACTCGTGAATGAAAACGAGTGGGCGAACCAGGAGTGCACGCACTCGTGAATGAAAACGAGTGGGCGAACCAGGAGTGCACGCACTCGTGAATGAAAACGAGTGGGCGAACCAGGAGTGCACGCACTCGTGAATGAAAACGAGTGGGCGAACCAGGAGTGCACGCACTCGTGAATGAAAACGAGTGGGCGAACCAGGAGTGCACGCACTCGTGAATGAAAACGAGTGGGCGAACCAGGAGTGCACGCACTCGTGAATGAAAACGAGTGGGCGAACCAGGAGTGCACGCACTCGTGAATGAAAACGAGTGGGCGAACCAGGAGTGCACGCACTCGTGAATGAAAACGAGTGGGCGAACCAGGAGTGCACGCACTCGTGAATGAAAACGAGTGGGCGAACCAGGAGTGCACGCACTCGTGAATGAAAACGAGTGGGCGAACCAGGAGTGCACGCACTCGTGAATGAAAACGAGTGGGCGAACCAGGAGTGCACGCACTCGTGAATGAAAACGAGTGGGCGAACCAGGAGTGCACGCACTCGTGAATGAAAACGAGTGGGCGAACCAGGAGTGCACGCACTCGTGAATGAAAACGAGTGGGCGAACCAGGAGTGCACGCACTCGTGAATGAAAACGAGTGGGCGAACCAGGAGTGCACGCACTCGTGAATGAAAACGAGTGGGCGAACCAGGAGTGCACGCACTCGTGAATGAAAACGAGTGGGCGAACCAGGAGTGCACGCACTCGTGAATGAAAACGAGTGGGCGAACCAGGAGTGCACGCACTCGTGAATGAAAACGAGTGGGCGAACCAGGAGTGCACGCACTCGTGAATGAAAACGAGTGGGCGAACCAGGAGTGCACGCACTCGTGAATGAAAACGAGTGGGCGAACCAGGAGTGCACGCACTCGTGAATGAAAACGAGTGGGCGAACCAGGAGTGCACGCACTCGTGAATGAAAACGAGTGGGCGAACCAGGAGTGCACGCACTCGTGAATGAAAACGAGTGGGCGAACCAGGAGTGCACGCACTCGTGAATGAAAACGAGTGGGCGAACCAGGAGTGCACGCACTCGTGAATGAAAACGAGTGGGCGAACCAGGAGTGCACGCACTCGTGAATGAAAACGAGTGGGCGAACCAGGAGTGCACGCACTCGTGAATGAAAACGAGTGGGCGAACCAGGAGTGCACGCACTCGTGAATGAAAACGAGTGGGCGAACCAGGAGTGCACGCACTCGTGAATGAAAACGAGTGGGCGAACCAGGAGTGCACGCACTCGTGAATGAAAACGAGTGGGCGAACCAGGAGTGCACGCACTCGTGAATGAAAACGAGTGGGCGAACCAGGAGTGCACGCACTCGTGAATGAAAACGAGTGGGCGAACCAGGAGTGCACGCACTCGTGAATGAAAACGAGTGGGCGAACCAGGAGTGCACGCACTCGTGAATGAAAACGAGTGGGCGAACCAGGAGTGCACGCACTCGTGAATGAAAACGAGTGGGCGAACCAGGAGTGCACGCACTCGTGAATGAAAACGAGTGGGCGAACCAGGAGTGCACGCACTCGTGAATGAAAACGAGTGGGCGAACCAGGAGTGCACGCACTCGTGAATGAAAACGAGTGGGCGAACCAGGAGTGCACGCACTCGTGAATGAAAACGAGTGGGCGAACCAGGAGTGCACGCACTCGTGAATGAAAACGAGTGGGCGAACCAGGAGTGCACGCACTCGTGAATGAAAACGAGTGGGCGAACCAGGAGTGCACGCACTCGTGAATGAAAACGAGTGGGCGAACCAGGAGTGCACGCACTCGTGAATGAAAACGAGTGGGCGAACCAGGAGTGCACGCACTCGTGAATGAAAACGAGTGGGCGAACCAGGAGTGCACGCACTCGTGAATGAAAACGAGTGGGCGAACCAGGAGTGCACGCACTCGTGAATGAAAACGAGTGGGCGAACCAGGAGTGCACGCACTCGTGAATGAAAACGAGTGGGCGAACCAGGAGTGCACGCACTCGTGAATGAAAACGAGTGGGCGAAGCAGGAGTGCACGCGCTCGTGAATGAAAACGAGTGGGCGAACCAGGAGTGCACGCGCTCGTGAATGAAAACGAGTGGGCGAACCAGGAGTGCACGCGCTCGTGAATGAAAACGAGTGGGCGAAGCAGGAGTGCACGCGCTCGTGAATGAAAACGAGTGGGCGAAGCAGGAGTGCACGCGCTCGTGAATGAAAACGAGTGGGCGAAGCAGGAGTGCACGCACTCGTGAATGAAAACGAGTGGGCGAACCAGGAGTGCACGCACTCGTGATTGAAAACGAGTGGGCGAACCAGGAGTGCACGCACTCGTGAATGAAAACGAGTGGGCGAAGCAGGAGTGCACGCACTCGTGAATGAAAACGAGTGGGCGAAGCAGGAGTGCACGCACTCGTGAATGAAAACGAGTGGGCGAACCAGGAGTGCACGCACTCGTGAATGAAAACGAGTGGGCGAAGCAGGAGTGCACGCACTCGTGAATGAAAACGAGTGGGCGAACCAGGAGTGCACGCACTCGTGAATGAAAACGAGTGGGCGAACCAGGAGTGCACGCACTCGTGAATGAAAACGAGTGGGCGAACCAGGAGTGCACGCACTCGTGAATGAAAACGAGTGGGCGAACCAGGAGTGCACGCACTCGTGAATGAAAACGAGTGGGCGAACCAGGAGTGCACGCACTCGTGAATGAAAACGAGTGGGCGAACCAGGAGTGCACGCACTCGTGAATGAAAACGAGTGGGCGAACCAGGAGTGCACGCACTCGTGAATGAAAACGAGTGGGCGAACCAGGAGTGCACGCACTCGTGAATGAAAACGAGTGGGCGAACCAGGAGTGCACGCACTCGTGAATGAAAACGAGTGGGCGAACCAGGAGTGCACGCACTCGTGAATGAAAACGAGTGGGCGAACCAGGAGTGCACGCACTCGTGAATGAAAACGAGTGGGCGAACCAGGAGTGCACGCACTCGTGAATGAAAACGAGTGGGCGAACCAGGAGTGCACGCACTCGTGAATGAAAACGAGTGGGCGAACCAGGAGTGCACGCACTCGTGAATGAAAACGAGTGGGCGAACCAGGAGTGCACGCACTCGTGAATGAAAACGAGTGGGCGAACCAGGAGTGCACGCACTCGTGAATGAAAACGAGTGGGCGAACCAGGAGTGCACGCACTCGTGAATGAAAACGAGTGGGCGAACCAGGAGTGCACGCACTCGTGAATGAAAACGAGTGGGCGAACCAGGAGTGCACGCACTCGTGAATGAAAACGAGTGGGCGAACCAGGAGTGCACGCACTCGTGAATGAAAACGAGTGGGCGAACCAGGAGTGCACGCACTCGTGAATGAAAACGAGTGGGCGAACCAGGAGTGCACGCACTCGTGAATGAAAACGAGTGGGCGAACCAGGAGTGCACGCACTCGTGAATGAAAACGAGTGGGCGAACCAGGAGTGCACGCACTCGTGAATGAAAACGAGTGGGCGAACCAGGAGTGCACGCACTCGTGAATGAAAACGAGTGGGCGAACCAGGAGTGCACGCACTCGTGAATGAAAACGAGTGGGCGAACCAGGAGTGCACGCACTCGTGAATGAAAACGAGTGGGCGAACCAGGAGTGCACGCACTCGTGAATGAAAACGAGTGGGCGAACCAGGAGTGCACGCACTCGTGAATGAAAACGAGTGGGCGAACCAGGAGTGCACGCACTCGTGAATGAAAACGAGTGGGCGAACCAGGAGTGCACGCACTCGTGAATGAAAACGAGTGGGCGAACCAGGAGTGCACGCACTCGTGAATGAAAACGAGTGGGCGAACCAGGAGTGCACGCACTCGTGAATGAAAACGAGTGGGCGAACCAGGAGTGCACGCACTCGTGAATGAAAACGAGTGGGCGAACCAGGAGTGCACGCACTCGTGAATGAAAACGAGTGGGCGAACCAGGAGTGCACGCACTCGTGAATGAAAACGAGTGGGCGAACCAGGAGTGCACGCACTCGTGAATGAAAACGAGTGGGCGAACCAGGAGTGCACGCACTCGTGATTGAAAACGAGTGGGCGAACCTGAAGTGAGTGGTGAGCAACCAGTGCTCCGACCTGCTCCGACCTGCTCCGACCTGCTCCGACCTGCTCCGACCTGCTCCGACCTGCTCCGACCTGCTCCGACCTGCTCCGACCTGCTCCGACCTGCTCCGACCTGCTCCGACCTGCTCCGACCTGCTCACATGAGAGAGAACCACCCGAGAGAGGACTCACCTGAGAGACCACTCACCTGGCAGGGCTCACCTGGGAGGGTGTGTGCAGCCACACGTGGGCGAGGTGGGGTTCCAGCAGTCGCAGCTGATGCACGTGGTACATGAGCGCGCTCACCATGCCAGTCTCCCTGCCCCCTCCCCCCCCTCCTGCCCCTCCCGCTCCTGCCCCTCCCGCTCCTGCTCCTCCTGCCCCAATGCTTGCTCCAGCCTTCACCTCTGCTCCACCTTTCTTCTCTGCTCCATCTTTCCCCACTTCTCCACCATTCCCCTCTGCACCACCCTCCCCCTCCACTCCCTCATCCTCTTCCTCCTCTAATCTCCTCCCTTCCACCTCCTTCTCCACCTCTCCTCGGACTCCACCTGCTACTCCCTTCCCCTCTCCATTCCCCTCTCCAGATGTACCCCCTATAATCAGGCTCGCTAGCGGCCGCATGACGTACGGCTCTCGACCCACCCCAACCACTAAATTGTTCTGCTTCTGCACGTAGTAAAGCACATGCTTCTCTTTCTTCTCCAACCCTGCCTTCTTCACATTAGCAAAACTCAACCCTGCTTGCATATCCCAACTATCTCCACCCCCTCCTCCACCCATCACCTCCCCTGTCCACCCTTCCTCCTCACACACACTGCATCTCCCCCCTATAGTGGCCCAAGAAGCTTTGCTAACACTCTCTATCTCCACCCCTTTACCCAACTCCATGCCTTGTAACTCCTTGGCCTGTTTGCTCTTCCTCACATCTGACCTGGCGCTTTCCCCTGCCGTGTCAGCAGCCACGTCTCTTATGATCTCTGCCTGCGTGTCCTCAAAGAATGCCAGCCTGGCAGCCACGTGGTGGCTGATGCTGACGTGGCGGATGAGGTTGGTGACGTGGCAGAGATGCAGGGAGGGCCAGCGCATGAGGAATCGGGTGGCCTGGGCTCGCCACCAACGCACCTGAGGCGGTGGAGAGCGGTGGAGCGAGGTGGAGTGCGATGGAAGGCAATCGGATGAGAAGCGGGTGGGCATAGGAAACAAGGAAAGGAACGTTCAAGAGGCATGCAGAAGAGGCACACACAACACTACCTGAGGCACGGAGAGGGAGGGGTTGTCAGGAGTGGGGGGGCGGCATGTTGGGCGGTACAGTGTATCTGGACGCTGCAGGTGGGGCGCTCCCCATTTGCTGTGGTGTGGAGCAAGGGACAGGTGAGTGTGAGGGAGTGATGCAAGCAAATCGAAAGGCGGCTGTTGAGGCAACCGCATGCAGTTTGAATTCGTTGTGGTCAAAGTCAGCACGTAGACAGAGTATGGGCTCCTGAGAGAGAGGGACTTTCACAAATTAGACACAAACGAACTTGAAAAAAAGATCGAAAAACAAAACCCACGTGACGACAGCAGCGTGCATTTTGAGCTCGGTGTGGTCAAAGTCGGGGTGCAGACAAACAATGGGCTCTGGAGGAAGAAACGGAGGTAACAACTCACCAAGTACACACAGGTAAAACGGGCACTCACGTAACAACGGGCACGCAAACGGGCACTCACGTAACAACGGCATCGTGCAGCTTGAGTTGAATTTGTTGTGGTCAAATTCAAGACGAACGGCTCCGCATTAACAACGTAAACACACAAAGTACCAGAAACACACACACACACACACACACACCACGCACGCACGCACGCACTCACGCACGCACGCGAGCGCGCGTGCACGCAGAGAGATACACGTACATGACAACAGCAGCATGCAGTTTCAGCTCGTTGTGGTCAAAGTCGGGGTGCAGGCAGACTATGGGCTCCGCTGATGAGGAAGAGGAGACAAGAGAATCACGAATCTGATACAAATAATACGGACGGACGGGCAGACAGGCACTCACGTGACGACAGCAGCGTGCAGTTTGAGTTCGTTGTGGTCGAAGTCGGGGTGCAGACAGACTATGGGCTCCGCTGAAAGAGCCACGTTGCGGATGTGCCTGCCGCTGCACCGCGACCGCAGTGAACCGCTCTGCATCTCCTTCTGTGCGCGCTTGGCGCAGTCGGAGGAGGCGATGGGGGAGAAGTAGCACCCCCACTGGCCGTGCTGCCCCATGGCTGCATGCATGGAGAAAGGGAGGGAGGGAGGGAGGGAGGGAGGGAGGGAGGGAGGGAGGGAGGGAGGGAGGGAGGGAGGGAGGGAGGGAGGGAGGTAGGAGGAAACGAGGGGAGGTTGAGAGGGGGGAGAGATGGTTGAAAAAAGAAAGGGAGGTGGTGGTGGGGTAGAAGAAACAATCGCACTAGCTCTGCTGTCCTATAGCTAGATGGATGGATGGCGGGAGGGTGGGAAGGAGGCAGGGAGGGGCAGTGGAGACGAAGAGAGGGAAACGGAGATGGTTGATGGAAAGGAGGAGAAGAAGCATAAGAGCTGCCTTCAGTGCAGACCATCGCATGCAAACACACGTGTGCATGCTGATTTTCTCTCGCACAATCAACGAGATTCCGTTCACACCCAGCGCTGTCTCCAGCGCCAGCAGCACTCCTGATACACGTTACGTAAACATGAATGCGAATCACATCAGATTATGGCGCACGAGATCAATCAGAGACTCACCTTTGCAGGCGGAGTTGTTGGCATAGCTAAAGGAGCCAGAGAGGGGGACAAGCACTCGCCCTGTCTCCACCGCCAACCCCAGCAGCGCACCCATCACATGCACCTGCAGAGCCAGCCCCTCCACACCTCCCAATCCCTCCGAACCACTCTCCAGCACCCAGGGCACAATGAGCAGGCGTTTTCCATCACAGGAGCCCGGGGGGAACTGAGAGAGCCAGATGTCCCGCTGCACTGTGCGCGTGAGGGCCAAGTTGTTGTCGTCGGGGCCAAATACCTGGGGTGGGGAGGAGGAAAGGAAGGAGCACACACAAGAGCACAATGAGCAGACGCCTGGCATCACAGGAGGCAGGAGGGAACTGCGATAGCCAGATGTCGTGCTGCGCTGTGCGAGTGAGCTCCAAGTTGCTGTCGTCAGGGCCGCACACCTGGGGAAGGGGGAAGACGGGCGGAGAACCTACAACAACACAATGAGCACGCGCTGTCCATCGTAGGAGCGATGAGGGAACATGGAGGAAAACGAGAAGGCAATAACAGACACAGTTTTCATCCGGCTCTCGTATCTCCAAGTGAAGCAGGACTATGAAGAGGGCAACTACTCCGTGCCCCAGGATGACGTGGCGCAGCTCGCGGCGCTTCAGCTCATCATCGACTTTGGCATGCTGCCAAGGCCTGAAAGTAGTCAGTACTATGAATTCTGGCTCTGGCAACATGCCAAAGTCGATGATGAGCTGGAGCGCCGCGAGCTGCGCCACGTCATCCTGGGGCACGAGGTAGTTTCCCTCGACATAGTCCTGCTTCACTTGGAGATACGGGAGCCGGATGAAAACTGGGTCTGTTATTGCCTTCTCGTCGTCGCATGCGCTGTCCGTCCAACAAAGGGGCCGTACACGTGGGGGAGGGAGAAGGAAAAAGGGGGAGCACACACACAAGAGCACAATGAGCGGGCGCGTAGCATCACAAGAGCCCCGCGGAAACTGCAAGAGCCAGATGTTGTGTTGCACTCTGTGGATGAGGGACAAGTTCCTGACATCTGGGCCAAATACCTGGGGTGGGGAGGAAGGAGAAGGGAGGACGAGAGAGGGAGGGAGGGAGGGGCTGGCGGGGAAGAGAGGCCCGCACACCTCACAAAATTTCCTAATCCCTAATTGCTATCCAAAAATTAGAAACCTCGACCATGCTGAGCAGGCCTCCTGCCTCCCACGAACATACTTACCAGGCATCAACCAGCCCAACCACCCTCACCCACCCACCCACCCATGGTGGCTGCGGGGAGCATCCACAACAGGACGAGCCGTTGCCGCCCGGCACCGCCCACGCCGCCCCGGCCCTCTCGGCGCCCTGTCTGGCGGACGTGCGGGCGGTGCAGTCCTCCAGGTGTGCGGGCGGCGGGAGGTTGCGCGCGAGGGAGATGGCCTTGGGCGGCAGAAGAGAGGGGGAGTCCAGCCCGTAGGCTGACTGCCATGCCTGCATGCGGGCGTTGAGGGTAAAATGCGAGAAGGAAAGCAAACGTAGGGGCCCAGAGGAGGGCAGGGGAAAATGGGGACGGTGAGATAGGATTGCCATATGAGGGAGGTTGCGCGGGAGGGAGATGGCCTTGGGCGGCAGCAGAGAGGGGGAGTCGAGCCCGTAGGCTGACTGCCATGCCTGCACGTGAGAAGGAAAACGAAGGTAGGGTAAGAGGAGAGCAGGGGAAGACGGGATGGGGTTACGATAGAAGGAAGGTCCCTGTGGGAGGGAGGGAGGTGGTTTTGGGCGGCAGCAGAGAGGAGGAATCCAGCCCGTAGGCTGACTGCCATGCCTGTATGCGGGACGAAGGCGAGGGGTGGGGATGTGAAAAGACGGAGAAGAGAAGGGGTGAGGAGAATGAGATGGGGTCATGATATAAAGGAGGTCCCTGTGGGAGAGCGATGGGGTTTGTGGGGCAGCAGAGAGCAGTATTCCAGGCCGTAAATATGTGCACTGCCATGGGCAGGGGAAACGGGGGCAGGGGGGGGGGGGGGGATATAAAAGATGGGCAGGGGGAAACGGGGGTAGGGGGGGGGGGGATATAAGAGATGGGCAGGGGGAAGGCAAGGGGGGACCGGGAACATGGACGCATTGCGCGAGAAGAATGATGAGGGCAGGGGAAGGCGAGGGCAGGGGAAAGCGCAGGAAAGGGAGGGGGAGGAGAAAGCGCAGGGGGGGGAGGGGGAGGGGGGGGGGGAAGGGGGTGGGAACGCGGCAGGTGAATGCGGGGAAATTGCGGGCAGGAGAAGGCGCGGGCAGGTGAAGGCGCGGGAGAGAGAAGGAAGGCGCGTGTAGGGGAAGGCGCGAGCGGCGGAAAACGCGGCAGGTGAACGCGGGGATGGCGCGAGCAGGGAAAGCGCGGGGAAGGGAGGGCGAGGGCAGGGGGAGGGAAGGCGCGGACAATGGAAGGCACGGGCTGGATACCAGACACCCCAACATGCCTTATGCAGCATTGCTATTCGCTCCATCTGGTTCGTATCTCCCACCACCCCCACCGTCATCGTCCCGCCGCTTCTCGGTTCAGCTGCCGCGAATGGCGGAAACGAAAGGCCGGTCAACTGGAGAAGTAACAGCGACGCGAGAAGAGCGAGAGGCGGCGCCATGGCGGTTAGGCGGCAAAAAAAACGGATTTGAGTAGAACGCGCTCGAAGTTGTCTCTGCGAAGTGTTGGTTCCCTGAAGACTGTACAAACCTCCTCCCCCGTACCGAAATGCGTTTGTTTCGCAGCAACTTCCATTCAGGCTGGTGTAACCCTAAGGCGCTGTTCTGTACGCATTATTGGTGCCGCACAATAACGCAATTGTACGTAAGTTCAGTGACACGTACATGCAGCATCACGCGCGTATTGTTTCGAGTGGGGTTACACTACAACGGCAGTGGCACGTCGCAACGGTAACAAAACCGAATCGCTCCCTCGACTAACATCTGACGCGCGAAAATTCCCGAATTGTCGCGTTGCAGGTTGCCTTTCGCAAAGATTATTCAGGAGGGCTGGTTTGGTTTTGCTGGTTTTGCATTCAGTTTCTCGCCGAATCTCTCCTCATACCAAAGTTTGCCTGCGTACCCATTTTACCGCGCGATGTTTGTGCTTTCAAAAAGGAGGCCATTGACAGTCACATTACTCAATTGTCATTTCATGAGTACACAAATACTATTTGTATTAGCCTTGTAGTAGGTCGGAGCCCTTATTAGCCTTGTAGGCAGCAGTAGGCTAGGTGCACGGCAATAGCAGCGCCCTGTTCCGCCATATGAGGAACAGTTTCTCACCAGTTTCTCACTCAGCCAAGGAAACTTCCGATAACCAAGCCGCCACTTTTTCTCACCCAAATCTACCATCACTAAACTCGCGACGTCTGCGGGAAGCCACTCGCGGTTGGAACCTCCTCAGGTGGCGTCACAGCAGTGGTGACCCTCCTTATGCGGAGCCGTAGCTGGCGTATTTGCAGTCGGGCGCGACGATTGACGAGGAGATGTAATCCTCGACTTCGCCGTCCAGGAATCCCTTGCCCTCCGCCGTATCCACGTCCACGGGGCGGTGCAGCAGCGCCGACAGGTGCGAGTACTTCACCGCGCGCTGCAGCTGCTCCGGCGTCGTCCTAAACGTCTGCCCCAGCACGCCGTGCACGGCTGACGTCATCGCCACGTCGGAGAGCTCCACGTTGAAGTGCGCCTCCGCCTCGGTCGGCGTCTGCAGCAGCGGGTGCGCCACGCGCGCGCGCACGTCCAGCTCCCCCAGCCCCGCCACGCGCACCTGGAACTGATCCACGTCGAACGGCCCCTCCTTCTCCTCCGCGACTTTGGTAACCACCAGCCCGCTTTCCGTCGCGATCGACTCGCCAACGCGTGGAATCTCCGTCGCGGCGCCGTCCACCTCGATCAGCGAGAGAAAGCCGTTTTCCCCGCGGTCCTGCTTCTTGCCCTTGCGCGCAACCATGCGCAGCGTGTGGTTCGCGCCGTCGGGCGTCATCCACACCACGCCGACCTCCTTGATCCACGTGTGCAGCTCCGTGCTCGACTCGCTCTTCTTCGCCGACGCGGGAAGTGCGGGAGGTGCGCCTTGGTATCCGTTCAGATGCATGTTGACGTGGAATCGACGGTCGGAGAAGAGGCAGAACGATTTATTGAGCCGCCCGGTGAAATCGTAGTGCGTGCCGTGCGCGCCCGTGAGATGCGGGTCGTTTTCGACGAGCGCCGTGCCGTTGCAGAGCCCACCCACGAAGCTCAGCGGGTACGACGCCGAGTTTGCAACCTGCGTGTCCGCGTCGCCCGCGTACGGCGTCTTGAAAGGGCCCGACGTGCCCGAGCCGCCGTTCTTCTCCAGCAGGTAGCACTGCACGCGGTCGATAAATCCCGCCACATTCGCGTTCTCCCCGGCGAGACGCGAGCTGAGGGAGGGAGAGGGAGAGAGGATCCAGGAGATGCCGGAAAAGCAGAGAGAAATCAGTTACAGGCACACGCAAGGCGCGCAACGAGCTGCGTTCTCCTGAAGTAGTAGCTTCCATTTCGGCGCAGATTTTCGAGAAATATGAACGCGTACTCACTTTTTGAACCAATGCCACTCGTAGCAGTAGGTGGAGCGCGCGCATGCGCGGCAGCACTCCTGCAGCGTGTCGCCGTACACGCCCTTCACCACGTCGAAAATGGTCCCCACCTCCGTGTACCGCTCGTAATTGACGGGACCCGATCCGCGCTGGTGTGGCACAAACTGCCCGCCCTGGTCGTTGAAGAGCCCCTGGTAATCGCCAATAAAACTGTAGTCTGTGTAAGTGGACTCATCGATTGTTGCGGTAGCAAGGTCGTCTATGTAGGGGCAGACGTTGCGAGTGTGGCACCCGCCGGCAGGCATGTTAGTTGCATCCGCGGTATGCAGTACCAGCCCGAGGAGCGCGAGGATTACGGAGAATCTGCTTGGGAAAGCCATTTTTGTGCCGGAGATAGCAGTAATAGCGGAACGCTGAGCAGGTAAGTTACTAGATCGAGAGAAGAGGCCGATGATATTTCTGGTACGAGTTGAGAGTTGTGCCTGATAAATAGTCCGCCCTAGGGTGTGGCGTACAAGTTCACCCCAATGCGGTGAAGTGCGATAATGTGCATATCAGAACGGCTCTTTTACCATTCTGTGCGTTTGTGGAAGGTTCTTAGCGAAGGTAAACCACATTTGCTCCTGAAACAACTTGGTTTTCGAAATTGGTGGTTGCCCTAGCTGGCGCAATAAGCCCACAGCGAGTCGCTCCCACATGCTTTAGTGAATTCCGTACTATAACGCAAGCATGTCGCACTGCACATCGCGAAATATCCGCAACCCACATCGAGTCGCGATATGCAAGACATTTGCCGCACCGTAACGCGCTTTACCGATCTGAGAATCGCTTTAATGGCACGAAACCGTACGGAAACCCTCAGTGGCAATGTGTGTTGCGGCCAGTAGCGCGCGCGCAGGGCAAGGCATGGGTCATGTGATCTGCTCACTGCCCAGCGTGGCGGACAAGGTTCCAAAATGCGCCAATAGCCCATTGGCTTCGGCGCCAGACGCGATGAGTGTTGCGCAGTTTGGTGAACGAATCCACTCACACTGCGCGAGTGTGTTGCAATCCCCAGCCGAAGTCAAAACGAGAAATTTCTGGCTTGGAAGGCAGGTTCGGGTGGGTTACGAGAAACCCTCGCATTCACGAACCCATTTTGCGATAGTTTTTCGCAACAGAATATGGTGGAGACATTTCCACGACTGGGACGGGGGAAGTTCAGCTCGTTTCGTGGATGAGGACGGTTCCATACGGTTCCAATCGGTTTTACCGATGTCACCGTTCTTCACCACGACAGAACAAATCAGGCCGCAAAAAACGTACGAACTGGAAACCCCATACCGCACAACTGTCTAGTGTATGAGCAGGGTGAGAAAACATGCGTGAGAACTACTAGGATAGACCACGTTTCCAGACTAGTACAGCTAGGTATAACGTGTGAGGCCAGAGCTTATACGAGCATACCTTTAAGTAGGCACGAGCATACGTTAAGGCAGGGCGTTTATAGGGATTGTGGATCGCCCCTTACCTAAACCCGAAACCCGACCAGAATTCGTAACAGTGAGACGCGACGCACCATTCTGATGGGGGGAGCAACGGGGGACGACGGGGTAAAAGGGGAAACGGCGCACGAAGCGGGGGGAAACGCAGGGAGCGGGTCGACAGCGCATGGGGCGGGGGAGAACGCGGGGAGCGGAGCAACAGCGCTCAAGGCGAGGGAGGAGCGGGGCGGGGGGGAAAAATCGCACGAGACGGGGGAGGAGCGGGGCGAGGAGGCGACAGTGCACGGGGTGATGCGGGAGGGGATGGCGGTGCTGATCGACGTGAACGGCGAAAAGGCGTCCTTCGCCATGCTGCAGCGAAACAGGTGCGCCTCGCAGTTTCTCTTTCCCTCATTCGCCGCCTCTACTGCCCCACCACCCCCCATATTCTCCCCTCCTCCCTTCGTCCACCCTCCTCCTTTCCTTCGCTCCTTCCTCCTGTGTTCTTCCGATCCCCTCTGCCCCACCTCCCTGCACTCCCTGTTTTCCACCATCCCACTCCTCCCGTAAACCCCTAACCCCCTAAAACCCATTATCCCCTTTCCCCCTTTCCTCGGTCTTCCCCCCTCCCTACGCCCCTCTCCCTCCCAGAACCGTGCGGTTGGGCAAGCAGCGCTGCTCCCTCGCGCCCCTCATAGGCTGCGCCTATCGTGCTTCCTTCTTCTCCCCTTCATCCTCTCTTCTTCCCCTGCTAACTTCTTTTCCATTTCTCCCTTCCTCGATTTCCACGTCTCCGCCTCCCACCTCCCCCTCCTCCCCTCCCCACGCCCCTCCCCCCCAGCACCGTGCGAGTGGGCAAGCAGCAGTGCTCCCTCGCGCCCCTCATAGGCTGCCCCTTTGGGTCTGTGTTTGAGCTGCGCATGGGGGGCGAGGAGGGCGCAGGGGGGGGCGGAGGGGGAGACGGAGAGGGGGGAGGCGGAGAGGGGGGAGGCGGAGAGGGGGAAGGCGGAGAGGGGGGCCAAGCGAAGGACGCAGGAGGGGATGGGGGAGGTGATAAGGGCGATGGGGGGAAGGGTGGAAGGGGGAAATGGGGTGGCAGGGGGGGAGGAAGAGGTGGAGGGGGAAGGGGAGGGGGGAGAGGAGGACGAAGGCCTCAGCTGGTGCGAGTGTCAAAGGAGCAACTGAGGGAAGGTGGGTGTGAGTGAGTTGGGAAGGGAGCGAGGGAAGGAGGGGGGAAGGGAGGGGGGAGGGGAGGAGGGAGGGTGGGGGTGAAGGGGCCAAAGCACCAAAGCGCGCATCAGACTTTTAGTGGAATGAGAGTTTATATGTTTCCTGACCATTGTTTGTTTATCTTTCCAGATTCTCTTGCTGCCATTGGGGAGGTAGACGCCGCTGCTGTTACGACTGCTGCCATTGCTGCTGCTGATACTGTTGCTGATGCTGCAAAGAGTGGGGCAGCAGAGGGGGGCAGCGAGGGGGTGAAGGACAATCGCAATCTGATTGACGATAACACGGCGCAGAAGCTGTCGGCCAATGAGATTGAGGCACTCAAGAGGTGACTGACCAAACCAGACGAAGCGCACTTAACCAGCTTCCACCATTTTTTGGTTTGCGAAGCCATTACATGTTTCCAATTTCGCCACCTTCCCTACCATCCTCACCTTTTTTACTGTTACTTTTGCAAGTCTTCTACCTTGGCCACCTTTTCACCATCTCACCTTTCTCCCTCTGGCTTTCCACCTTGTGCTCGATTGACGCAGGCAGGCAGCATCGGGGCATGAGGTGGTGCGGGCACTGGCGGCCAACAGCGTCTCCTTCCACACCAAAACCGACTTCGCCCAGGTCATGCCTCGCCCAGGTCATGCCTCGCCCAGGTCATGCCTGCTGCTGCTTGCTCCTGCTTGCTGCTACTGGCTGCTTGCTGTGTGCTACCTTCCTCTACCATCCCGCACATCCTTCCACACCCAAACTGATTCGCCCAGAACATGCCCGCTGCTGCTCTCTGCTTTCTCCTCTTCACGCCTCCTTCCAAAGCGCATCCCTTCCCGCTCCTCTATGAATCCCACTCTCTCCTGTTCCTCAACCAACCCCCCCTTCCCCCTTCCCCCCCCTGTTCCCCTCGCCTCCTCGCCCTTCCACAACAGGAGAAGTATCTGAGGAAGAAGCAGAAGAAGCACGCTCCGCGGCTGGTCGCCCGCTTTCCCACAGCTGACAGGTCTCTCTGCCCACCCACCATGCCCTCCATAGCATCCACCCACTACATCCATTATGCCTGGATGTCTCGCGTATTCGCATGCACACAGGATCTTCATATCACACATACGTCAATATTTCCCTTTATGACGCTGTTGGTAGGCTTTCCGTGTGCTATGGACACGTCATGCGCCCCTGCCTGCTCCACAGTGCTGTGCATGCATACGCACCCATCTTCTCACCCACCCAATCCATTCTCACCATTTTGCTTCTCCCTATTTTCTTTGCTCCTCCTTCGCACATCAGCGTGTGCGAGGCCTACTTTGCCAAGGCGCCTGCCAGGATTGGGTGAGTGAGGAGATGGGCGCATTTGCATTCTCTCTCAAGGCGTAATGTACAAAGCAGTGTGCAAAGAAGAGTATAAAGCAGTGCAAGGCAGTGCAAATCAGTGCAAATCAGTGCACTACTTCGTGTGCGAGTAGATGTCATTCGGAATAGGGAACGCGTACTGAGTTTCTTTTCACCTCGTGCCCTTTTTGCCTCGTTGCCTCTTATGACCACCGTATCCTCTTGTGGGGCCTAGTAGGCTCGCACTTTTGCTACGTCTTTTTGAGACGCCTAAAAAACACTCTATCCTCTTGTGGGGTGTAGTAGCCTCGCACTTTTGCTACCCACACACGCGTGTGCCTGCTGCTTCAGGATCATCCTTTCCCCTCTCCTCAACCCATTGCTCCCCGTTCCTCTCACTCTCCCACCTATATCACTCCTCTCCCCGTGCGTGCACTGCAGTTTCCACTCACTGCCCACTGCCCACTCATGCTGCTTCACAATAGCCTTTCCCCCCTCCTCCACCTATTTCTCCCCGCGCCCATTGCACTGTCCTGCGTCGTGACAGCCCGGCGATGCTGCTGGCTGTGGGGCAATGCGGGCGGGCCCATTCCCGTCCACCCAGTACTGCTCGCCTGGCGAGCCTCACCTTCCCCCCACGTATCTCCTGCCTTTTTCTGCCCGTATCCCACGGCTAGTAGCATTGCCCTGCAGTCTCCTCCGCCCTGACAGCCTGGCAATGCGACTAGCCACGGCGAATGTGGGTGGGAGCGCGCACTCGCACTCACTGGTGCTGGGCGGCACAGGGGGGCTCACGCTCATCACAGCTGCTGCCCTTCCCCCTTCCGCCCCATGCGTGTCTCACAGTTTCCTCCGTCCGGTCCGGACAGCCTGGCAATGCTGCTAGCTATCGTCTGTGGGAGCGCACTCGCACCTGCTCTGCTGCGTCAGGCTAATCTCCCTCCCCCTCCCCGCCTACGTCCTCCACGCGTTGCCCACCTGTACCCGTTGCAGTTTCCTGCGACCGGACAGCCTGGCAATGATGCTAGCGATGGCCAACGTGGGAGCGCACTCGCACCTGCTGGTGCTGGACGGCACAGGAGGGCTCATCACGAATGCTTCCCTCTCCCTCCTCTCCCCATGCGTGCCCTGCAGTTTCCTCCGACCGGACAGCCTGGCGATGCTGCTAGCGATGGCCAACGTGGGAGCGCACTCGCAGCTGCTGGTGCTGGACGGCACAGGGGGGCTGATCTCATCTTAGCTGCCGCCCTTCCCCCTCCACCCCATGTGTGTCTCACAGTTTCCTGCGTCCCGACAGCCTGGCGATGCTGCTAGCAATGGCCAATGTGGGAGCGCACTCGCACCTGCTGGTGCTAGACGGCACAGGAGGGCTCATCACAGCTGCTGCCGCACAGAGGATGGGAGGCCATGGTGCCATCTGCAGTGCCTTCTACGGCTCGCATGTGTCCCACGCGCCCTCCATCGATATAATCCGCCATCTCAACCTCTCGCTGCCTGCAGCCGCCATGTAAGTTGCCTTTCGTATGGAATGTAGTGTAACGTGGTATGTAACGAGGTGACGTTTGAGTCGACTCAGAAGTCACCTTATAAAAGCCACAACCACGTAAAGACTTGCCTCCAACCTGGGGCTCCATCGCTCCCTCCGTCAGCGTCATCCCACATCTCAACCTCTCCCTGCCCGCCGCTGCCATGTAAGTTGCTCTATTGTGTGTCATGTGATGTGCCATGGTGCCATCTGCAGTGCCTTGTACGCCTCGCATGTGTCCCACGCGCCCTCCATCGACATCATCCGCCATCTCAACCTCTCCCTGCCTGCAGCCGCCATGTATGTCAGTGCAACCCCCCTCGCTGCTGCTGCTGCCATGTATGTCAGTGCAACCCCCCTCGCTGCTGCTGCTGCCATGTATGTCAGTGCAACCCCCCTCGCTGCTGCTGCTGCCATGTATGTCAGTGCAACCCCCCTCGCTGCTGCTGCTGCCATGTATGTCAGTGCAACCCCCCTCGCTGCTGCTGCTGCCATGTATGTCAGTGCAACCCCCCCTCGCTGCTGCTGCTGCCATGTATGTCAGTGCAACCCCCCTCGCTGCTGCTGCTGCCATGTATGTCAGTGCAACCCCCCTCGCTGCTGCTGCTGCCATGTATGTCAGTGCAACCCCCCCTCGCTGCTGCTGCTGCCATGTATGTCAGTGCAACCTCCCTCGCTGCTGCTGCTGCCATGTCAGTTCAACCTCTCCCTGCCCATCGCTGCCATGTCAGTTGCCTGTAGTGTCGTGTGGAATGTAATGTAAGGTGACATGTAACTTGACATGTTACGTGGCATGAAACTGTTAAAATATATATTGTGTAGCATGCTAAGCACATGTGACTGTACACCAATTGTGGTGTACAGTTGGGTTGGGACTACACCCAACATTGGGTGTAGTCTTGCACTTTGGGGTGCCAATCCACCCAATTGTGGTGGAGCCCCCAAATTGCAACCCTCTTGACTTTTGGGTACCTCACTTCCCAATTGAGGTCACCCCAAGCCAAGTGGGCCTAGGGTTGCCTCACTTGTACAAAGTGTGGGCAACCCAACCCACATCACCTATGGTTGCCTCACTTTCCCAAGTGAGGTCAACCCAACCTATGGTTAGGTTCATCCTTCCCCTCTAACCCTTCCTTCCAACTATGTATGCTAGGTTTCTCCTTTAATTCAATCACTTGTTCAATTTACAATCTTCACAGAAACCTGGCTTGTATCATGCGATGTGTCACACAAGCCTACGATGGCTTTCCTGGCTCTTTTTCTTCGCCCGCACGTCATGCCATGCCGTGACATGCCATGCCATGCCGTGACATGCCATGCCATGCCGTGACATGCCATTCCATGCCGTGACATGCCATGCCATGCCATGACATGCTGTCACCCTCCATCCATCACCATCGTTTGACATCTTGACCTTGATACTATCACAAATGCTCCAATAGTCTCAACATGCGACTTCATGTGACGTGCCAATGCCTAATGCCCCGTGCAAGTTGGACCATAAGCATAAACCGTCAGGCATGGTCAATGGTGATATTTGGAAGTCGTACCATTTTACGATGCCAATCACTTGTCATGAGTACCACGAATATCGCCCATGCCCGTTGCGCGTCACCCATGCAGTCACCAAACACTCTCCTCCTTACGCTGTTGTGCACATTGCTGTTCATTGTGCACATTGCTGTTCATTGTGCACATTGCTGTTCATTGTGCACATTGCTGTTCATTGTGCACATTGCTGTTCATTGTGCACATTGCTGTTCATTGTGCACATTGCTGTTCATCGTGCACATTGCTGTTCATTGTGCACATTGCTGTTCATCGTGCACATTGCTGTTCATTGTGCACATTGCTGTTCATTGTGTCACATTGCTCTTCATTGTGCACATTGCTCTTCATGCTGCTGTTTGGCCATGTGCTGTTGCTGCTGCTACTCTCTCTGTCAGCATTCATCGGGCATCGGTGCAGCAGCTGCTAGAGGCACACCACACCTGGTCGCAGCAGCAGCAGCAGCAGCAGCAGCAGCAGCAACAAACTGCAGCAGTGGATGCGTCACAAAAAGCAGGGGTGGTTGCAGCTGTCGCAACATCAAACGATGCAGTAGCAGCAGCGGCAGATGCAGCAGGTGCAACAGGAGTAGCAGGTGCAACAGCAGAAGCAGGTGCAATAGCAGAAGCAGGTGCAACAGCAGAAGCAGCAACAACAGCGAATGGACAAACAGCAGGGGGCGGCGAAGGGGAGGAGGAAGAAGGGAGGCCTTGTAAGAGGCTGAAGGGGGGAGGGGACGGCAGTGCTGCTCAGACTGAAACTGAAGGAGAAGCCGGTGCTGCGGAAGAGAATATCGCAGCAGACGGTGTAGATGGGTTGAATGCGGTAGCAGAGACTCCAGCAGTGGAGAAAATGGAAGTAGAGGAGGGTGCAGAGGGAGTGAGGGAGGGAGCGGAGGGAGTGAGAAGTGGGAAGAGCAGCCTGACGCGGGAGGAGCGGGGCGCACAGGGGGCGTTGGGGCGGGTGGCTTCAAGTGATGTCATGCAGCAGTGGCTGCAGGAGCACGGGGGTTTCAGCAGGTGAGCTTTGGAGATTGCATTGCCTGTAAGGGCACAGAAGGGGATGGCTTCTAGTGACGACAATAGGCGGTGGATCAAGAAGCATCGTGTGGGATTAAGAGTGGTGCAGTGAGGGTATCGCAGTGTATGCACTGGGACAAGTTCCGGCTGTATTTTGATTGTTCCCAAGAATCACATGGAACAAAGTGAGGTGAGGGCATGGCAGTGTGCACATTAGGACAAGATTCGCCAAAGTGCAGTCATGTAGCAGTGGCGATGGGAACACGGCGGGCTCGTCAGGTGAGCTTGCGGGAACAATGTAAATGACTGGGAAGCCATGGAAAAGGGGGAACCCATGGCGTCCAGTGGAGCGGAGGCAGGAGGCTGGGGTTGCAACACCGCCTGCTCTCACCTCCTTTTCTGTGCCGCTGCTGCCACATCTTTTTTTTCTTTTTCCGTCAATTCCTTTTTCTATCATGCACCATTTCATGCCCATGCATCTCCTCCTCATGTCCCTTCCCTGTTCCTCTCCACGCGTCTCTCCATCCCCCCCTACCGCCCCTCCCCAGTCTCATAGTGGCAGCGCCTTCTCTCTGCCCTTCAGCCGTGCTACAGCAGCTGCTGCCGCTGCTACAGCCGTCTGCAGCCTTTGTGCTGCACCACACCACGCTGCAGGTGAGCGGATGGAGAGGACAGGTGAGCGGGTGTAGTTGAGGTGTATGAGAGTAGGTAGCGCACTACAGACGCCCCCTTCTGCTGCTGCTGCTGCTGCTGCTACAGCCGTCTGCAGCCTTTGTGCTGCACCACGCCACGCTGCAGGTGAGCGGTGGCGAGCATGTGAGGGGCGTGAGGGCACACACACAGGCTGGTGGGCTGGCTGACGCTCCTGCTGCTGTTGCAGCCATGTGCAACCTGACATGGGTCGTTGTGTTCCACACCAATTCTCCATGTCAAAGGGTCGCTCTGTTCGTGTTATCAGGGAAGCGGGTATGAAATAAACCGAATTCCTGTTCTCTACTGCACAGCACAGCACAAGCCTCTGATCAACTCTAATCAACTAAATCTGCAGTATTCTGGTGGGTCGTCTGCTGAGGCCTCGCCTTGGCTTCTGGATCCTGTACAGCGTAAGCCTCGGATCCTGTACAGCACAAGCCTCGGATCCAGGGCTTGGTGCATCTTCCGCCGAAAACTATGCCCCTGGATCCACTGCCTCCCTCTCCCACTTTCTCTCTCCCCGATTTTCCTCCCACTTCCTTTTTTGCTACCTGCATCTGCACTGCGTCACTTCTCCCTAACCCCCTTCTCGCCTTCCCCTTCCCTCTCCCCCCTTATGCACCATGTGAACTAGCAGAGGCAATTGGGTCCTCTTTTAAGGTGCCGCAAGAGTACGCCTCCCTCCCCCCTCCCCCCTCCCCCCTCCCCCCTCCCCCCTCCCCCCTCCCCCCTCCCCCCTGCCCCCTCGCCCCTCCCCGTGGCAGTGGTTTGGTGAGGCAATGCAGCCGTCCCTCAAGGTGCATCACGTGCGCTTACTTTCCTTGACCCCCTCTCCCCCCCCCTTTCCTCGAGAAAGGCACGCCTGCCTTTCTCCACCCCTGCAGCCGCCAGAAGAGGCGATTTAGGCATCATTTAAGGCGCCTCGAGAGTAGATGTATGCTTGCTTTCTCTTCCTTGGCCCATGCTTGAACCATACACGCCTGCCTTTCCCCACGCCTCCTGCCCCTCGCCTCCTGCCCCTCGCCTCCTGCCCTGCCCCATGTTCTCTCACCCCACCCCGGCAGCCGCTAGCGGAGGCAATGCGGGAAGCTCGGAGCAGCGCTGTGGCATTGGAGCTGTGCGAGCCGTGGCTGAGAGAATACCAGGTGAGAGAATACCAGGTGAGAGAATACCAGGTGAGAGAATACCAGGTGAGAGAATACCAGGTGAGAGAATACCAGGTGAGAGAATACCAGGTGAGAGAATACCAGGTGAGAGAATACCAGGTGAGAGAATACCAGGTGAGAGAATACCAGGTGAGAGAATACCAGGTGAGAGAATACCAGGTGAGAGAATACCAGGTGAGAGAATACCAGGTGAGAGAATACCAGGTGAGAGAATACCAGGTGAGAGAATACCAGGTGAGAGAATACCAGGTGAGAGAATACCAGGTGAGAGAATACCAGGTGAGAGAATACCAGGTGAGAGAATACCAGGTGAGAGAATACCAGGTGAGAGAATACCAGGTGAGAGAATACCAGGTGAGAGAATACCAGGTGAGAGAATACCAGGTGAGAGAATACCAGGTGAGAGAATACCAGGTGAGAGAATACCAGGTGAGAGAATACCAGGTGAGAGAATACCAGGTGAGAGAATACCAGGTGAGAGAATACCAGGTGAGAGAATACCAGGTGAGAGAATACCAGGTGAGAGAATACCAGGTGAGAGAATACCAGGTGAGAGAATACCAGGTGAGAGAATACCAGGTGAGAGAATACCAGGTGAGAGAATACCAGGTGAGAGAATACCAGGTGAGAGAATACCAGGTGAGAGAATACCAGGTGAGAGAATACCAGGTGAGAGAATACCAGGTGAGAGAATACCAGGTGAGAGAATACCAGGTGAGAGAATACCAGGTGAGAGAATACCAGGTGAGAGAATACCAGGTGAGAGAATACCAGGTGAGAGAATACCAGGTGAGAGAATACCAGGTGAGAGAATACCAGGTGAGAGAATACCAGGTGAGAGAATACCAGGTGAGAGAATACCAGGTGAGAGAATACCAGGTGAGAGAATACCAGGTGAGAGAATACCAGGTGAGAGAATACCAGGTGAGAGAATACCAGGTGAGAGAATACCAGGTGAGAGAATACCAGGTGAGAGAATACCAGGTGAGAGAATACCAGGTGAGAGAATACCAGGTGAGAGAATACCAGGTGAGAGAATACCAGGTGAGAGAATACCAGGTGAGAGAATACCAGGTGAGAGAATACCAGGTGAGAGAATACCAGGTGAGAGAATACCAGGTGAGAGAATACCAGGTGAGAGACTAGCAGGTGAGAGACTACCAGGTGAGAGACTACCAGGTGAGAGACTACCAGGTGAGAGAATACCAGGTGAGAGAATACCAGGTGAGAGAATACCAGGTGAGAGAATACCAGGTGAGAGAATACCAGGTGAGAGAATACCAGGTGAGAGAATACCAGGTGAGAGAATACCAGGTGAGAGAATACCAGGTGAGAGAATACCAGGTGAGAGAATACCAGGTGAGAGAATACCAGGTGAGAGAATACCAGGTGAGAGAATACCAGGTGAGAGAATACCAGGTGAGAGAATACCAGGTGAGAGAATACCAGGTGAGAGAATACCAGGTGAGAGAATACCAGGTGAGAGAATACCAGGTGAGAGAATACCAGGTGAGAGAATACCAGGTGAGAGAATACCAGGTGAGAGAATACCAGGTGAGAGAATACCAGGTGAGAGAATACCAGGTGAGAGAATACCAGGTGAGAGAATACCAGGTGAGAGAATACCAGGTGAGAGAATACCAGGTGAGAGAATACCAGGTGAGAGAATACCAGGTGAGAGAATACCAGGTGAGAGAATACCAGGTGAGAGAATACCAGGTGAGAGAATACCAGGTGAGAGAATACCAGGTGAGAGAATACCAGGTGAGAGAATACCAGGTGAGAGAATACCAGGTGAGAGAATACCAGGTGAGAGAATACCAGGTGAGAGAATACCAGGTGAGAGAATACCAGGTGAGAGAATACCAGGTGAGAGAATACCAGGTGAGAGAATACCAGGTGAGAGAATACCAGGTGAGAGAATACCAGGTGAGAGAATACCAGGTGAGTGAGAGAATACCAGGTGAGAGAATACCAGGTGAGAGAATACCAGGTGAGAGAATACCAGGTGAGAGAATACCAGGTGAGAGAATACCAGGTGAGAGAATACCAGGTGAGAGAATACCAGGTGAGAGAATACCAGGTGAGAGAATACCAGGTGAGAGAATACCAGGTGAGAGAATACCAGGTGAGAGAATACCAGGTGAGAGAATACCAGGTGAGAGAATACCAGGTGAGAGAATACCAGGTGAGAGAATACCAGGTGAGAGAATACCAGGTGAGAGAATACCAGGTGAGAGAATACCAGGTGAGAGGAGGGATGAGGGGACAGGGTTGAGAGGAGGGAGGTGAGGGGAGGGGGTTGAGAGGAGGGAGGTGAGGGGAGGGGGTTGAGAGGAGGGAGGTGAGGGGAGGGGGTTGAGAGGAGGGAGGTGAGGGGAGGGGGTTGACAGGAGGGAGGTGAGGGGAGGGGTTTGACAGGAGGGAGGTGAGGGGAGGGGGTTAAGAGGAGGGAGGTGATGGGAGGGGGTTGACAGGAGGGACGTGAGGGGAGGGGGTTGACAGGAGGGAGGTGAGGGGAGGGGGTTGAGAGGAGGGAGGTGAGACAATGGAGGTGAGAGGAGGGAGGTGAGACAATGGAGGTGAGAGGAGGGAGGTGAGACAATGGAGGTGAGAGGAGGGAGGTGAGACAATGGAGGTGAGAGGAGGGAGGTGAGACAATGGAGGTGAGAGGAGGGAGGTGAGACAATGGAGGTGAGAGGAGGGAGGTGAGACAATGGAGGTGAGAAGAGTTGGTTGAGAATGTGCTTTGAGTCGACTCAAAACACACCGGGAATACCATTTGAGGGTACGGAGTAGCAAGTGCCAGTGTGTGTGGTGGATAGGTACAGTCCGGTGCTGACCTCATTGATTGTGCCATCCACTGGCTATGTGCCATCCACTGGCTATGTGCCATCCACTGGCTATGTGCCATCCACTGGCTATGTGCCATCCACTGGCTATGTGCCATCCACTGGCTATGTGCCATCCACTGGCTATGTGCCATCCACTGGCTATGTGCCATCCACTGGCTATGTGCCATCCACTGGCTATGTGCCATCCACTGGCTATGTGCCATCCACTGGCTATGTGCCATCCACTGGCTATGTGCCATCCACTGGCTATGTGCCATCCACTGGCTATGTGCCATCCACTGGCTATGTGCCATCCACTGGCTATGTGCCATCCACTGGCTATGTGCCATCCACTGGCTATGTGCCATCCACTGGCTATGTGCCATCCACTGGCTATGTGCCATCCACTGGCTATGTGCCATCCACTGGCTATGTGCCATCCACTGGCTATGTGCCATCCACTGGCTATGTGCCATCCACTGGCTATGTGCCATCCACTGGCTATGTGCCATCCACTGGCTATGTGCCATCCACTGGCTATGTGCCATCCACTGGCTATGTGCCATCCACTGGCTATGTGCCATCCACTGGCTATGTGCCATCCACTGGCTATGTGCCATCGGTGGCGGTGCTGTCCTTTGTTCCCCACTGGCACTGCCCCAGGGGGCACTGCTCCACTCCACCATGCATGCCTGGACTGGCAGATTTGAAGCTGACTCGAAAGTCACTCGGGTGTGCCTTGTTTGACTGTGCTATATGCTCAGCTCTCCATCCCTTCCCTGTTCGCCTCAGGTGTTTCCGCAGAGGACCCGCACCCTCACAACCATGTCTGGCGCATAAGTCGACTCAGAAGCAACTTGGATGTGCCTTGTTGTGTGACGTTGTTACTCTTTGCTAATCCTGTTGTTCCCCCCACATGCTGCACATGAGGGGACACAGCCCCACTCGACCATGTCTGGACTGGCAGCTTTGGAGCTTTTGAGCTCTGGACTGCACATGAGGGGACACGTCCCCTCATGTCTGGACTTTTGAGCTCAAAAGTTACTCGGGTTCTTTGTCTGACTACTATTTGCTCTGCTCTCCCTCTTTTGTTACCCTCAGGTGCTGCCCCAGAGGACCCACCCCCACATGACCATGACTGGCATGGGTGACTTTGAGTCGACAAGTCACCTCAGTTGATTGTGCGATGCTGTGTTACCCCTCTTGTTGCTCCCAGGTGCTGCCCCAGAGGACCCACCCCCACATGACCATGTCTGCCACGGGTGGTTACCTTCTCACAGGGATCAAAGTGGTAAACACCCTGAGCTGAAACGCTCGGTACAAACGAATCTAAATCGCATCCCAACCATGTGGTGCATATAATGATAATCCTGTGCTGTGGCCGGTTAGAGTTTTTGTATAAATAAATGCCGGTTGCATTCAGGCTACCATCCCTCCACCAACTTGCATGTTACCGTAAGCTGCTTAGGCTGAGAAGCATGCAATACAGATAGGGTAATATAATCGCCTAGCTATAGAAGATAGCGTGCATTAGACCTGGGGTATGCGTGCAATGCTGTGATCATATGCGTTGCAGCATCGCACTACTAGTCCAACACTATTTGACTGACATGAGAACCACTCGGAACGAACTGCCTTTAAAACACACACTGAGGAGCAACTTGGTTGTTAGCCAAATCTAGAGTGTAATGTAATTATAGCCCATGCCACCTTGCAAGGGCGGAGGATGCCAGACTGCATCAACTCGCACACGAAGAAGTAGCGCACCTCTATGTGCTTGCTGCAACCGTGAAAGACAATATTCTTAGTGGGATGAATCATGCTCTGTCTTAGGCAAGCACTGTCATAGGCAAGTGACATAGAGGGCTGAAAATGGCCCAGCTCAACATGGAGATAAGAGAGCCAAAGAGCTTCATGAGCGGCTAACATGCCAGCATACATCTCAGCCCTGTAGGAGGAGAGGCAGATGGAGGAGGAGCAAGTGGAGCGCCAATGAATGAGGCCAATGGCAAGAGCAAAGCCATATCTCTAGGAGGAACGGCTCTTACACTTAGGCAGGAATGGATTGAACTATCGAGAGAATTGGTACAAAAGGGGAAACCCTAAGGGGTTATACTCCACAGTATCTGCCCCACTACTGCCTACCAACAAATATAACATATGCATATGTTTGACACACCTCCATAGGCAAAGTGGGGGAGAGCAAGAGGTCACAAGACCAGTCAAGAAAAGCAAAGCAAGCTCAAGGTGGATCACAACGTCACCACACACTTTGAGCACAAGCAAAGGGCCACAAGGCCAGTTCACATGCAGAGGTATATATGCAACAAGAACAGTACAGTGATCTCTACTTAGCAACAGCAAGCATGCAGGTATATATATACATCATAGTACAATCAAGTTTACAGCAAGTGAGGAAACGCAGGCACAAGGCCTAGCAAAGTACAGAAACGCTGATGATCACCAGACGGAAGTGTCTTGGTGAATATATCAGCAGTGTTGGCCCGAGTGGCCACGTGAGCAAGACGAAGCTGACCTCGCTGCTGCAACTCTCGAGCCAGGAAGTAACGCAGAGCGATGTGCTTCGTTCTGTGCTCCAGTCTGTGCTCCTCACACAAGGCAATGGCAGCCTTGTTGTCGACGTACAGAACTAGAGGAGAACGAGGCCTCTCTCCCAAGTCAGTCAGCAGGTAGGTGAGCCAGCGTAACTCCTGTGCAGCCATGGCCGTGGCGTAGATCTCAGCCTCACAACTAGAGCTGAGAACAGAAGACGAGCGCGTGGACCGCCACGAAATAGAGCCAGAGCCAAGGCTGAAGGTGTAACCCTGTGACGGCCGCTGCGTAGCCTGGTCGTCAACCCAAGACGCGTCAGAGTGTCTAGTTAGGACAACGTCGCTCCGTCCTCCAAGCACGAGCCCCATGCCCGATGTACTGCACAAGTAGTGCAGTACCCTCTTCCCCTATAGAGAGAAAGAGAGAGAGAGAGAGAGAGAGAGAGAGAGAGAGAGAGAGAGAGAGAGAGAGAGAGAGAGAGAGAGAGAGATAGCCTCTGCCCTCTGCCCCTAGCCTCTACCATTCCCTCTCAGCCCTACTTAAGGCCTTCCTAAGGCCGTTCTCTTCATTGTTAGCTTGGCGACTGAAAATTTTCCGCTCGCGCAGGCGGCCGACGCTCGACGGCGCGGCCTTCGGCCGCGCGTGCAGGGTGGCAAGCCCAAACACAAACAAGTGGCACTAAGCAAGGACATACAGGCAATGGCGGTTCCTACTCAGAATTAGACAAGCATGGCATCAATGGGGCAACCGGGGCCCGCGACTACATGTGGTGAGCTCCAAGGGCGTGAAGAACGCCCGTCAGGGAGCGCCACAGCTCCCGGACCACAAGCGTGCTTGCGCCGATCGCGGCGGCTCCAGAACCTGACCGCAAGTGTCGCCTCAAGCCCCGGACAGCATCGTCGAGCTGTCCCGCAGCAGCAACGCCACCCTCCGACGGCGCAGCCAGCACGGGCGCCAGGAGCTGCGCGAGCTGATCGGCCGCGTCCAGGCACACATCACGTGGCCGATCCTCAAACGTCTCAGGGTGAGCCACGGGGAGAGAGGAATGTGCCAGCACCTGTATCAGCAGCACAGCGTGAAGGCTCTCGGCCAGACGAAATAACTGGCCAAGAACAGCCTCAGGAATGCGGGCCTGCGGGGGTTGAAGTGTCAAACATATATGCTGCATATTGTCTAGGCTGTAGTGGGGTAGCCCATATGGGGTACAACCCAATTAGGGTTTACTACTTGTACTCCTGCATGCCACTAGTTCACACATTCCTGTCTCTAGATTCTAACATGGTTTCAGAGCAGTAGGTCCGTAGGACCATTTTTTTTTCGGGCCCACCTACCGCTACCCCACGAATGAGCCTGTGACTGTGACTGTCACGCACACTGCCTACTGCCTAGTGTCTGCTGTTAGCCCGCGTGCACCTTCCTGCACGCGCGTAGTCGCGTGCAGCCCGCACCGAGCCCGCGCAGCCTGCTCCGAGCCGCGCGCAGCCCGCTGCTGCCGCGCGCAGCCTGCTTCGAGCCGCGCGCAGCCCGCTGCTGCCGCGCGCAGCCTGCTTCGAGCCGCGCGCAGCCTGCACCGAGCCCGTGCAGCCCGCTCCGAGCCGCGCGCAGCCCGCTGCTGCCGCGCGCAGCCCGCGCCGAGCCCGCGCAGCCCGTCCCGAGCCGCGCGCAGCCCGCTGCTGCCGCGCGCAGCCCGCGCCGAGCCCGCACGGCCCGCTCCGAGCCGCGCGCAGCCTGCTGTTGCCGCGCGCAGGCCCCGCCGGGCCCGCGCAGTCCGCCCCGAGCCGCGCGCAGCCCTCTGCGGCCCGCGCGCGGCCCGCAGCAGCCCCGCGCGCTGCCCCGCGCAGCCCACTGCTGCCTCCCGCAGCCCGCCCCGAGCCCGCGCCGCCCGCGCGCGGCCAGCTGCTGCCCTGCGCCCCGCTCACACAGACCCACCTGGCCGCGGAAGCGGCCGCGACCTGCTGCTGCCGCGGCCCGGCCCTGCAGCTGCCTCGGCCCTGACCTGTCGCTGCCACGACCCGGCCCTGCAGCTGCCTCGGCCCCGACCTGTCGCTGCTATGACCCGGCCCTGCAGCTGCCTCGGCCCCGACCTGCCGCTGATGCGGCCCCGCCCTGCAGCTGCCTTGGCCCCGACCTGCCGCTGACGCGGCCCCACCCTGCTACACTCTGCAGCTGCTGCGGCCCTACTCTGCAGCCGCTGTTGCGACCCCGCCGTCGCCCGCCGAGCGCCGGCCCTACTCGCCCGGCGACCGCCTGCCCTTCCAGCCTTTGGTGAGCACCTGCCTGCCTGCCTGCCTGCCTGCCTGCCGGCCTGCCTGCCTGCCTGCCTGCCTACCGGCCTGCCTGCCTGCCGGCCTGTCTGCCTGCCTGCCTGCCTGCCTGCCTGCCGGCCTGCCTGCCTGCCTGCCTGCCTGCCTGCCGGCCTGCCTGCCTGCCTGCCGGCCTGTCTGCCTGCCTGCCTGCCTGC